ATATATATATATATATATATATATATATATATATATGGTTTAGAACAGTACCTGGCTCATTTTAAGTATGTAAATATCAGTTATTATTACTAGCTCTCCTAATACCTTTGTCTATAATCCATAAGAAATAAATTTAAGTCACAACTGAGCACATGCACATAAATATAACTGAAAGGAGTTTCACAAAACAATATTTACCTTTATTATGTGTGATGCACTAGCCTGTTTTTTTTTATTGTATTCTAGTCTAGTTCATTTTGTTTAAAATGATTCCAAACCACTAAATTGATTTTATAAATTTGCAACAAGTGGCAACTCTCAATTTGAAAAATACTCCCTTAAACTATTTTGCTTGATCTTCTTATATTCTTAATTACATTGTACTGGGAAACTGAGCCTGTGCTCCCCGCCTCCCAAGTTCCATCCATCTCCCCCCAAGAACACACACATACACACACACACACACACACCTTGGCTTATGTCCTGGCATTATCTGGTAACAACTGTTCATTTACATGTTACCCTTGACCACAAGTGGGTCTACCCATTTGGTGGTGGGGCTGTGAATAAGGTTGATAGCCATGATGACTGAAGGCTCATTGGTGCTCAAGAGTGAGCCCCAACTCTAGAAGGACCTCTACTCAAGTTCCTCAGTTCACCCCTCTATGAGTGCTCTTCCTGAGGCCTCTACATTGTCTTGTCATAATGGTAAGGAACTGGGTTTTCTCAGGCCTACAGTCTTGCCATTAAGTCATCTATCCTAATTCTTCTGTTTAAATGATCATACTGTGTATATAAAGGAAGGGAAGTAGACACCTAGATTATCCGATTAGATGCCTTGGATACCAAGTTAAATACATGTATTCCCTATCCCTGTTCTGAGTCACATCAACATCAAACCTTCCTTCATGAAATATCACAGTTCATCATCATGGGCCCTAGGTAAAGGAGACTTGTGCGGTACTTAGGTGGGCTGCCGAGCCGGTACATATCTGTGTGTGCGTGAGTCTCCATGATGAATAGCTTATCTTCTCAGGGAAAATTCATGTGTTTATTCAATAAACACTTGCTGAGTGCCTACTGTGTCCTGGGCACCTATGCCAGGCTCTCAGGATGAAGCTGTGAGCAACAAATACATAGCTCCTGCCCTTCAAGGGACAAACATCTCAATTCAATCTAGATGAGACAGCCACAGCATTTTTCTTTTGTTCTAGCAAAGCCTAAGTCACAGATTTTAAAGATCCATTCAGAGTTATTTAAATAAAAGTCAGGAAGTATGGTTTGGTTGCCTCTGAAATTCAATAGGAAGATACCCGGGTTCACATCGCTGTTAGTTTGGTCAAGCAAACTTTCTTTACAGTCACATGTCCATGTCTGCTAGGGAGAAATTCAACCTCTGTCTTCTATTACAAACCCATGTGGTGCATAGGGACAATGAGAACTGATTTTTCTTTGTAGTCAACAGAATTTAAGACAAAGGATGAGTGCCTCCTCAAAATGGGAGGAAAATACTGGAATTTCAGAAAGTGAAAGGATGTTTGGCTATCATAGATTAACATTATTTTACATATTTATTGGTAAACAACAACCTAGTTTCTTTCCACTTAAAAATATTTTAAATATCAATTTCAGTTGAGGATCAAGACTATCCCACATGTCCATGTGTTCCCTATACTGTTTTTTTCAACTGTAGCAACATTTTGGATATAATGTCAGTTACTTTCTAAAAAAAAAGATAGATGTGCATCTATTTAAACCAAAAGTAATTAAAATTTTGTTTTGAGGAATTTGCAATATCTCCAGATAGTTGGAGATACCTAGGGTGTTGCTAAATTAGGGTTTGTAACCACTACTATAATGAGACCACACGGTTATATCAAGCTAGAAAATAGATTTGACTCATGGAAATGACTAAACCATCAATCTCATTGGAGCCCATCAGTATTAACAGCAGGAATTGAGGGGAGCCACCTAGCCCTTAACCATTTGCAAAACAAATCTTGGTGTCACATCAACTTTGCAATTGTAAATGTTAACAGTTCGCTTTTCTTTTCTTCTTTTTAACATATTTTGCTTATTTTTGCAACCAAAAGAAAATAATTGCATTTTCTTGAGACAAGATGCTTCTTCCCATTGACTAACTGGAGTTCAGTTTTGGTTCTACTCTTAAGGAACTCATCCTACCTTAAAGGTCTTCAGAACTTCTTGAGAATTTTTGGGCTGGGAGTAAGGCTTGGGTGTCAGCATAGGCACTGCTTTGGGAGTGACAGTTTTGCTTGGAGACCCACTGCCTGCTGACATGCTGGTATCCAGAACGCTGGTACGAGCGATGGTGGTTTCCACAGTGGCAGTGAACTTGGGTGGAGGCAGTGACTGTTGCCGCAGGTATTTCATGGGGTTGGGGTCAATCAGGAAGGTGGATAAGTTTGGCTCTGTTGAATGGCTTCTTTCCAGGATTTTTGGCATCTCCAAGCGTTCAAGAACAGCCTCGCTGATGGTGAACCTCTCAATGTACTGTTGAAGGATCCCCTCTGCCTCCTCCTGTGACTGCGCATTCTTATATGCCTCGTGCAACTCCCTCTCTCTCCGCTCCCTAAAGGATGGGCATGGGAGAAAGAAGCAATAACAAAGTCAACAACAGTCACAAAAATTGCAAAGACAACTTTGGTAGAAACCAAGATAGAGCTGAAGGAACAGCACAAGAAGCATATAATATTGGTGTCAGAGCCTTTGGGATAATAGACAATTTTTAGAAATAGCACATCTAGATAATATTGCACATTAAATAACAATGACAGCAGAAAGAACCCACTTTTCTTGAACAATTTCTCTGTAGGTTTTGATGCTTTTCCTTCGTTCACTTGTCCCATCCTCTCCAGCCAGTAACTTCTCCATTTTTTTCCTTTCTTCCTCTTTCTTGATTAAGTCCTGAGAAGCACTTCTTCTACGGCTCTTCCAACGAGCCAGGTCCTGTGGGGGTGGATTTGGTGTAAACAGAACATACTTTTTCAGGCTTGCACATAATTCCATTTATACTCCTCAGAGTTTAGTGAGCACTAGTTATGGGCCAGGCACTATGCTACGGCATTCCCACACAATCCAATGTCTGGTCGGAACAGGAATGCTTCAAAGGCACGAAACCTTCAGATATATCTACATTATCCATAGCAGGGTAGCACATTTATTTAACATGGCAATGTGAAATTTGTAATCATATTTCATGTCAGTTGCCAAATTTTAAAGTATTGCTTCACCAGGGGATTGTAAGAAACTTCATTTCTTGCTATTTAAGACTTCTGCATTGTGAATGGACTTGCTGACAATACAATGGTAGGAATTAACTACAGGCCTACACAATGTCCTCAGGGAAAAAAGGCAGAAAACAATTGGCTTTGGGGTCTTATAGGACTGGTGATTCTACATGGATTAATTCTTCTGATCCTTATAACAATTTCACCACAAACGCTACAGGCACTTACAGGATAATGATGAAGAAGAGTTAGGATTTTAGAGTCAGGTGGGTGGGATTTTGGCTATGGGAAATAACCCTAGCTCTCTCTCTTCCATGCTCTGGCATCTCAGGCTTCAGTTTTTCAGCCTTTCTGTACTTCAGTTTCCTCATCTCTAAAGTAGTGATGATAACACCTATTCTGATAAGCTTGTTGTGAGGGTGAAATGAGACAGTGCATATAAGGTGCCAGGCACATTGTAAGTGCTCATTATATTGTAGACATAAATATTACCACATTTCATCGACCTTGGAGAAGTTAACTTTTTTGACTAATGGTAGAGTCAAGTTCGCAATGGCTATCTCAGAGTGCTGAGGATGAAATAAAATAATCCAGTCTCCCTCCTCTCATCCCTGTGGTCAAGCTCTTCCCCTGCCGTGGCTCTTCGCTCTCAGCATACAGACCATCTCAAGGTCCTCATCAGGCCCTGAGACTTCCTTTCCTGGTTCTAATCCTGGCTCCCTCACTCTCGCTGTGTGACTTTGGGCAAGTCACTTCGCTGTTCTGGGACTCATCAGTGGAGTTGAGGTGATAATAGTTGCTAGCTCATTGAGCTACTATGAGGATTAAAGAATTATTACATGCAAGACGCTTAGAACAGTGCCTGTCACTGGTACGCTTTCAATGTTGGCAATGATTTTTGTCATCATCATGATCAGTTTCAAATATATAATCTTAAAAGACAGTGCATCCTCAATGCTACATTCCATGCCAGTGGTCTCCCTCCAGTTCCCCTCTCCTTTGTGGCCAAACTTCTAGCCTGTGTCATTCACTCCTCACTCTTCATGTTGCTATTAACCTTCCTTTAATTCCCACATTTATTGTGTCACTGTTTGAAATCCTTCAGGGACTCCCTTCCCCTGCATGGCTTTCAAGTCTATATCTACCCACCCCACCCCACCTGATTTTCTGCGCCAAAAAGCCTCTAATCCATCGTGCTGGGCTGCCTCCCTGCTGCCCAAGGCCTTGGCCGGCACTCACATCTTGCCATTTGTCGTCCTCTTCCCGCAGCTGGTTATTTATTAGCTGCAGCTGCTCCTGGCGGGCCCTGCTGTGCGGCTGCACTGCGGCCTCCTCCTCACACCGCACGTCAAACATACTCGTGCTCCTGAGTGTGGAGAGAGCAGAAATAAAAATGGACCGGGATCAGGGCTCCCCCCGTCACGTCTCTGCGCATTCTGGGACGTTCTGCCGCGTGGGGGCGCTACCTCATTTGGAAAACTGTTCCTCTTCCTCAGCAGCTTAAGACAGCTCCCTGATCGCCTCCCTCAGCCAGAGGCCGGCATGCCAGCACCCCCACCTCTTCTTTTGCAGCAAAAGCCCAAATGTGACCATTTTTGTCTTCAGCGGTGGCTGCATCAGGTCAATATAATTTTATATGTAGGTGCCAAAATATGCTTAAAGAAGATCTAGGAAAAGGCATATGACACTCTGGGCTCCTCTCATTTGGAAATGCATTAGAAAATAAAGAGAGAATTAACAGGTATAACTTGGGGAGAATTTGTGGAGAAGGAGAGTAGTGTTCCACGAATCAAGTGAAACTTGATTACAGGAAATGCTTCTTGTGAATGACCTGGCTTAAATGCTTTCTACATTAACTGAGGTAACTTCTCCATTTCCAAAAAAATGTCATATGGCCCTAAGGCCACGTTGTACTAGTTTCTGAATTTTGGAAGCAGCCAACAACTATGCATTAATGACGCATATGTTTGATGTGGTTGTTTCTATTTCTTGTAAAACTGTCTGTAAATCAATAGTGCAGTTGTTGGCATCTTGGAATTAAGAAAATCAGATATTTCATAGTAAGATTAAGAAGTATAATATATACATCAGTATACACTTTGTATCCTAATATTCTCACAATCATTTTACTTTTCTGTCAGGTTACTTCTGAATTTACTCTTTTAAAAGAAAAAAGGTAGGGAAAACAATTTTTAAAAACCCTCAGTCTATTCATATAATGGATATATTCTATGGGAGCTTATTAAATGGTGGGCAAGACCATAGGGCCATTTCTATGATGCCTACATAGACCTTTGTTACAGCAAAAGCTGAAGCAGCAAGATGAAAACAGAAATAAAAACGAAAGCAAAATCCTCCCTTTTTTTCCACTTGAAGAAACAAGCTCTGGGAACAAGTGCATTACATAGTGCCAAAATAAAAAATAAAAAATGGAAGGCCCTTTAAATTTCACTGTTAACTTTTAAGACCAGAAGACTGTGATAATCTGCTTTTGATGCCAGCTTAACACAAAGAAAAAGAAAAGTCATGCACTTAGACACCAACTAATTCCAGACATCATCAGTGATGTCCAAAATAGTTACCGCCATGGCCAGACAATGAACAGTGGCAGCATCATTGGATGCTAGTGGGTTCTGTAGCAGGCAGCCCGCTGAAGGGAACTGACTCCCAAAGCAGTGGCTGCACACCTTCATTTCATTCCACTCGAAATAAATCTGCAAGGGTGTGTAGGTGCCTCTCCCCTCTCTTTAGATGTTAGACAATTTAAGTCTGACCTAAAAGGGCTAAAACTGAAGATTGTGCTTGTAATCTATCTTCCCCAAGAGTATTCTAATAATCTGACTGCACAGAAGGACTTTCATCTGAGGCTTCTCTTAGCTCAGATATGACAAACCACTGTTTGGAGCTGCCTCCACATACTCAGTGGATAGTGCTGACTGTGGCAGCTGGGTCTTCCTGAAAGATAAACGGTAGTCCTCAAGAGGCAGGAGGGGCTGTGATTTTTAACTTATTTTATACTATTTATTCATGTCGTGTAGGAAAGATTTAAGAATTTGCAGAGTTAGGTAGAAAAGTCTAACCCATGTTTTTTAAACTTCAAGGATCAAAATTCCCTTAAGTAGGCTTTCCAGAAAGAGATTAAAATTCATCCCATTCCTCTTCTCAGAGCTTTTTTAAAAAACCTTTATCTTTAAATATATTGAATTCATTCAGTTCATCTTGTCAGGTAATTCACAGTCTTTGCAAAGATCTTAGAAGATAGAAAAACCTCTCTGAGCTGGGACTTGCTCATAATCTACTCAGCAGTTGGTGGATTATGGGAGAGAAAGAAGGTTCTTTCCTTCAGCTTTGCCATCTATGATTTCCACAGGACAGAATTTTGGGTTAGGCCACAATGGGAGACTTCTGGGACTCTAGGAAGAAAACAGCAACCTTCTCCAGGATTGGGAATTGGTTATCTCAGTTGATGGGCATGGAGAGGACAGGAGCAAGGCCTTCTGAGCTGCCTTCTGTCCTGGGTTCTGATCTCTGTTCCCACCATGAAGTTCTAATTGCCTCAGTCCAAATGTGGCCAAAAGCCGGTCAGGGAAATAAAAAGAGAAATCTTGTTTGCCCTCTTCTATACCAGGGAATACTATTTTTTCCCCCCAGAGGTTTTTTTTTGTGTTTTTTAAAGAAATACAAGCAAACTGGCTAAAAGAGAAATAAAACTATGAGCAATACTTTTATGCCATTTCAAAAAAAGGAACTAAGCAAGTTGAGAATAATACTAGACAGAAAATGGGCTGAATAACCATTCAGAAAATGTTCTGTAATTCAGAGGCTGGACTCAGCCTCCACAATGAAGACGTGTGTGTCTAGGGATGGGGTGGGGGGATCCCAGAGAAGCCCAGGTTCCAAAATATGAATATGGCTTGCATGAAACCTGAGCTTTTCAGCACAACAAGCCCTGCCCTTGGGTTGTTGGGACAGGGGACCCTGGCTGCAGAACCCAGGAGTGTTCCTTGGTGTGGGTTGGCATTTTTGAGGGCCAGGATTAAATTACCTCAAGGGGAGCCTGGAAATTGTTTCTGGGCCAAATCGAAGGTAAAGGAATTAAGGTTAAAATGGCCTCTGGCTCTTACAGTGTACCGGCTCTGTTGGTGGGGAAAGTGTTGGGAGAGGAAGCGTGTAGAAGTAAAGAAAAGGGCAAGAAGGTGAAACTAAATCTATGGAAACATTCTTGGCTTGCCAGGAGGCGGAAATTTCTGTTTGCCTGTGTGGTAGGTCTGCCCCTGACCTGCATTTTCCTTAAAGGGCACATCTTTTTTTGATTGGGCTGTATTTTAAGAATGTGTCAATTATGAATAAATAGAGCCCGTGCCAAGAATTACCCTTAAAGATTTTGAAAAAGGGAGATAGTGAGGGAATAAACTAAATACATTATGAATTTCTATTTAAAAATAAATGTCTGATGTAAACTTTTTATTTTGTTCCCCACATGGTTTCACGTAAATGATGTCTACTCCAAGAAGGAAATTCGGGCTTTTGATATTCCCAGATAAGACGTCTGGAAAATAAGCTCCTTCTACCCTTCTTACTCCATAGGCTGCTTTTTGTAAATTTAGTGGAGGAGAGAAGGGTGTCCCCAATCCCATCGCTTTAAAAAAAATAATTAACTTCTCCCATGGGTGAGCTTTCATATTCAGGTACAGGCAAAATCCAAAAGCTCTTTAATATAGCTCTTTTCTTTTACCTTTTAGGGTTTTCCAGAGATCTGTCTTAGGCAAACTGCACAGCAACTTTGCACTGAAGAATAAATCCATTCTATCAACATATTGTTGCTAACCAAATTAAAGTAGTGTTTTGCCTATCAATCTTATGTAATCCTCCTTTCAGTGAATATTAAATATTGCCACTACAGATTTTAAAAGTAATAACAACCAGGACTCAATTTTATAGACTCCTTAACTCCATGCAGTCAGTCAAGCTCAGGCTGAAGTTGGTTTTGGTTTTGAGACATGAGTGTGCTTCTGTATATCAGGCTACAAAGCAATCACAGGTCATACATCAGAAACTGATATCCTTGGTGCTAGAGTCAGACGGCTTAGAGCTGAGAGTACAAACTAAGCTGACATTTTGAACACAAATATGGAAAAAGCACAATTTGAAAACAGTACATGTGGGGCTAGCTCTCATCGTCACTGTTGGAGATAATATTTGTGTGTCCTACACTGCTGTTTGGACTCCTCACTATGTGACTTGAAACTATGGCTCAGAACAGGGAGACAGGGACCAAGCGTGCCGATGGTCAGGAGGCCATGAGGTGCCTCTCAGAGGAGAGACCTCAGGCTCAGCAGGCGACTGATGTTGGAATTCGATATTAGTCATGTTTCTTAAAACACAAAACACTCAAATCTGAGGAAGCTAGTAATTGGCGAAAAACTTTTGCCTTGAATATTCATTTCAGAATCCTGTGTGTGTGGAAAATCCATTTTTGAAATGGAGTTAAAGTGGTCACAGATGGGAGAGTATGGATTCTTCTCAAATTTGGAGGTGAGACGGGGGATGGGGAATGAGTCTCTCAGAGGAATAGAAACCAAATAGCAGGAGAGGAAGCCCAAGTCCTGTTTTACATCTTGACCCCTTGCTCTGCCACAGGACTTGACTGAAGCCCCAGCGTTTTGGTCTCAAGCATCCCACAGTTTATATTACTCCAACCTGGGAGGAATTTGGGCTTCTGAATCTATAATTAGCGGTTTAGGATTTATTTTCTTAACTTAAAAAAATGTGGCTATGAAAATGACTGCTTCTTTGTTAACTCCAAGCCCTAACATATCAGGAATTAAATGCAAAACACAGAATATCCTTTTAATAATTCTGTGGTTCAGAAGGAGTACCAAGATCCAAATGGTAACAAGAACAACTTGAACATGCCCCATCTACAAAAAGCAAATGTTAAGTTTTAAGCAGCAGCTGCGTATTAGAATCATGCTTCAGTTGCTTTTTCATTCATCTCTCCTGCACAGAACATATGTTCTGCATTCCATCTCCAAGTGCTTTTCTGAGGCTGCACACGTCAATTAGCTATTCAGTTCACTGTTGCATCAATTGCATTTCCATTAGTGGTAAGTACTGAAGGCATGCAGTTTAGGCTAGTAATTAATGTATTCCTATGAATACAAGACAACTTACTCTGCGTCATCAGACACAGGAGTTCTCGAACCGTATCTATAAGACCAAATACAAAATTAGAGGATTGGCAAGACAGAAGGTTAACGCTGTAACCAAGCTGAAAAGAAAAACTGCTGGTGAAATGTATGTGTGTTCAACCTCTTTTGCTGATCGTACTGGAAGAGAAGTGTCATTGTACAGTTGGCAATATTCATTCACTGCTGAAAATAAAAGAGAAGTCTTAACAGTCCCAAAAATGCAAAATTTGTATTAAAACACAGAGGAGAAATGAAAATAATCACCACGCTACCCACACAAAATAGAATCTGTTCAATATAAACACAAAAAGTCTTAGGTGCAATCCACAATGTTTAGAGAAAGCAGCTTAAAAAATCCAAGCCTGCATTAGGGTTATTCACAAACAGTTAAACTGTTCATGCTTTTATGTTCAGCCGTAATGGGCTGTAATGGACACTCAACATAGAAGCACGCTCTTACTGACCCTTTCCCTGACGTGTTAATGCATTTGCACAAATGACATCAAAGAGCATTTCTGCAGTTTTCCAAAAGCAAACCAGGACTCCAACCAGAACCCCAATCAGTGCCTTCCACATGCATTTGACAAAAACCACAATTCCTAGAAAACTGGCAGCCTTAATCCAAACCAGACTTGGATGATATTCCATCACTTAAAAATCCAAAGTTTTTTTTTACAATCTTTTATATTCTTCTGATTATTTTGATCTACAAAGCTGTACCCTCTAATGATATAGGCATTTTAAGTTATAATGTGTCCGATAAAGCAAACAAAAAGGTCAAGTCAGAAAAAATATTAGAGCATTGCAAGGGCATTATTTTAAGTACATTTTTAAAAACAGCTTCCACAAATGACTGTCTCCTTCGCAAAGGGGAATTTTAAGGGAAGTTTCTTTCCTATGCCCTGAAAGGCTGTTCATTTCTGCACTCTGATGGTAGACAAAGGATTACTGCAGTAAGGGGGAAAGAAAGAATGTTCTGCTTTTGGTTTCCAATAAATTAAATTTTGAGGTTTTCAGCAGAAATTACCTGACCCCATGTTTAGTTTCATAACAGTTTACTAAAGGGAAAGGAGTAATTTCTAAAGGCCTCTTCCTATAATCTTAGAGAAAGCACCCCAAAATGTATGGGTTTACACACACACACACACACACACACACACACACACACACACACCCCCTTCACTCTTATGCTTTTATCATTCTAAAACAGTCTGCATTCTTTAATAATTATTTTCATTCACAGTGAAGGCAACCACACCAGGGCAAAACGTAAAAGTCTCTCGAAATGACTAAAAACACAATGAGGAAAGAGTTTGTGGATGTTTCTGTTCTGGCAGTAAGACTCTTTTTCTGTTTCTCCAGGGGATAGTTTCAGAAGGTGCTAAAGTTTAACCTAATGCACTCAATGTTCCAAAAACCCTGCTACACTGAAGCAGATGACCAGCCGATTCCAGCACATCGAGAGCATGCACAAGCAACGTTAATTCTGAAGATTGGATAAACGTTTCCCAGTGAATTAACAGGCCTACTGGAATACACTTACAAATACAGTAAAACCTTGGATTGCGAGTGACTTGGTTTTCGAGTGTTCCGCAAGAGGAGCAAACATTTCAATACATTTTCACTTTGTAAATGAGTGATGTCTTACAATAAGAGTAGTTTGTTTCCGGAACAAATTATGCTTGCAAAAACCAAGGTATTACTGTGTAGTGTTTTCTAAATTATCTATGGAGGAGAAGTTATTCCTAATGGATGGTTAATCTAGAAATAACCAATTAATATAATAGTTGGTGTTTTTGTGTCTCTATTTGAATATTTTTGTTAATGTTTGATTGAAGTATAACATAAAGTGCACATAGCATACCCATACACTTCAATGAATTTTCACAAACCAAATATACCCACAGATTAGTGTTGAGTGTTGTGTACTATAGAAACTGACCCATACATACAGTAAGTACTCTTTTGAGTGTGGCTTCTTTAGCACATTTTGTTTATGAGGTTCAGCTATGTTGCTGCATGTGGGATATATCTTAATTTAAATAGCTTCTATACAAAACACAGCATTTCATGGACATCTCTGCCAACAAATGTAGATTTACACGAAAATGTAAGATCCCTCAAGGTAGGAAATTTTTTGGGGGGGTTTCCTGAATAGTGACTAGACTAGGCCCTCAATAAATATTTATTGAGTACTTACTGGATGGTCTGAAAATTCAAAAGGAAAGGATAGAGCAGTTTCTGAAGATAAATTTCATTGCTTTACTTTATTTACTTTATTTATTTACTGATTTAAGGAATTACCTCTCAGACTAATTTATTAGCTTTAGGAGCGCATCAATTTAAGCAGAAATGTCTTTGCTGTTAAGGAGAACATAATTAGAGCTTGGGCTTCAAATGCTTTCCCAATAGTCCTAGGGGACAACTGAAAAGTAGTAAGTTAAAAAGTAGCTAATAAAGAGATGTTTTTAAAATGCAAAGTAGTGAGTCAATAGGCGATGAGGTAAAAAATTGGCCAAACCACAGTTGGTATAAGCATCCTAAAAAAAAAAAAGCAATTAATAAAGTTTAATTGTGAGGCTGGGTGTATTTAAAAAGATAAAGGGAATATTCTGTGAACCCATTGATTGCATTTATGTAACTCCCAGCACTAATAAAGCGCTTCAGAATCAATAATTTGCTGGTTATATATTTCCATATTGTGAACTAGCAGAAGCTTCATTTGAAGTGAGAGGGAAAAACTGGTTTACTGATCATTAAAGATTCTCCCCTAGCACCCAGCACAGTATTTTACACATAGTAATTACTCAATAAATACTTGCTGAAAGGAAATACATTCCCAGGATGTGGGCTTGCTCTATTACCCAATTGTGTCACACGGTGAATCTATCTGACTGCTTCTCCTTATCAAACTAGCCATTCATTCCCATCTGAATATTAAGAGGACTCTTTCTGAATCACAAACAGAGGGACAGACAAAAGTGACAGGGAATTCATCAGACTTCCACAGTTTCCTCCAGCAACTTGCGTAGGCAACGCTCTGGAGTGGGACCGTGGCTTTCCACTCAGACAGAGCTGGGTTTGAATCTTGGATTGTTATTACCAGTTCTGCGAATGTGGGCCTCAGGCTCCTACTTGCAAAATGCAGATGAAAATTCTTACTCTCAAAGTCTGTAGGCGGAGTAAGAAAATGGGAAAGCACGTAGAGTGTATCTAGTAGGCAGCTACAGGCCTCACTTCCTTCTTTCCTTTCATTCGAACTTGCCCATGCTCCAGGGCCAAGCCACATCAGGGGCCGGGAGTGAATGATTCTGGTGGACCAGGGAGACCAGTCCTTCTGTCACAATTCAGCCTTATCCAGCCCTAACCATCTGATAGCCAGGTGTCATGCAGCCACTTCACTTCTCTCTTCATTGGGCTTTCCAATTGGGAAATGGAGCTAACATCAATTCAACCTTCCTGTGAATTCCCAGGAGAAGGTGAGCTAGAGGGAGCAGACACACTTTGAAAGGGCTACAAAGCACTCTACGACTATAAAGCAGAGCACAAATATTATCCCTGCTCCTGAAACCAGTGTTACAGAAAGGCTCTACTATAGTATTCTTATTATGATTCAGAAGACTGTAAAGAAAATTAAATCCAGATGATAAAGATGACTCAGATATTAATTTTAAAATTTTGGGATTACTTAAGGTTCTCTCTGCTCTCCATTCTGTCCTCTGTCCCACTACCATCAAGGTCCTTCCTGAAGCAGAACTCCATCACTTTCTGATTTTTAGTGGAACTCCTAATTATGCAAAAACACTCCTCACTCACACTGATCATGGAGACCACACTTTTAACAAAAAATATATCACTCTTATTAAATAACAACAGAGGCTTCGACATATAGGACCTTAAACCAGACCATGAACCCCAGGCTTAGTGTTTTCCTAGTCTTCATTTTAAATCAAGTCACAGTACGGAATACAAATTCCGCCTCTAGAAAACACTGTTTACTAATGTTGAAATTAAATTATAAATTTTATAAGTGGTATACATCTTCTTTGGACTGGAAGTCCCTCCTAGAATCAAAGTGAAATCAAGTAGGTCAGAAAGAAGTTCAACCCCTTTACACAAAGGCTTCTACGTGACGCAGGAAGAAACAAGAGTTTCCCATTTAGGTTGCCCACAAGATGAGAGTCAGAGAGAATGTTTAACAGGAAAATTCACAACTGAACTATTCTTCCCACACCTGCTTACATGCAAAAAAGGAAAACACATTCTTGGCAGACTGGGCCAATTTTTATCATCTCATTTCTTCAAGCAATAGCAGGTAAGTGGCACTGATGTACCCTAATGCATTAAAAACATATTCGAAGCATGTAGCAAGACTCAGACTGGAGAAATAAAGTCACAGTGGCACAGGATACTCTTCTGACCTTTGATCTTTCATCAGTGGTCCCTTGGAAGGTTCTTCTACATCCTGTTGCTTTGCAAATGGAACTGGAAGGAACTGGTTTGGGTTGGATCCAATATGTCTAAGAGACTTCCCAGTTCTCCTGGCCATCATGTCATCTTTTTGTGAATCATACAACTTTCTTTGGTTTTTCAGTCCACTGTCACTCCCGGCAGGAGCTGTCATCTTCTCTGAGCTTTCTTGTCTCCCTGAAGCCACCCACTCAGAGGCCAGAGGGCACGAACTAGGGCAACATTCAGTCCAGCCAGTCAAAGTCCACTTATTGCTAAAGATATTTTCAGTAGCATCACACACTTGGCATTAACTCAAGACAGAAGGAGTCAATGTCCACTGAGGCAGTAGCACACACAGCAACTGAGTATTAATACCGTGGACGTCCACCATGCAACTGGCACTCCCACGGGAAGGGATTTCCCTTTCTGGTTTTCATGATTTCTGAGAATGACATCTGGCCAGCACCCAACCACATGCAAAGGCTAAACTCTCTACCCAGAGGGGGCACTAAAAGCAAAACTCTGACACTGCGATGGGCGCATTCCTTTAAGTGACTTAACTCCACACCACATCAGTCACCAAAGTGCCTATTGTGGCTCTAAGCTGCTTTTTGGGAGCACAGCAGCCACACACAGCAGAGGCGGTACACCCTGGAATGCAGGCAAGGCGCTCACAGTGGCTGGCTGCTCTCCTCGGATCTTTCAGCCTTTGGCGGCATCTCAGAACCTCTGTGAGCAGCTCCTTCTTTCTCCTCTTTGCCATCCTGTGGCAGCTGTTTGGACGGAACTAAAGCCAGAGAGGACAGCTTTATTACTGGGAATGAATTCACACCAAAAGCCTTGACCCCACCTGTCATCCTTCACCTGCCAGGGAGCGGGGAACCGTGGTTCCTCACCTCCCTCTGTCCTCTTAGGGCACGCACCCAAACTGTAGACATGTTCCTCCTGGGTCTCCAGCAAGGGGGCCAGCCGCAAGACCCTTTTGCCACAGTCATCTATGCCAGAATTCATGGTTCTGTTGATAATCAAGTAGCATTGGTGTCAACACAGAAGAGAAAAAAGAGTTATGAAAGGAGACAATGAAAGTCGTTGAGACTGAAAGATTAAGAGTGTTTGGTTGCTCTCATTCTGGAAGCCAGTTAGTAGGCATGACATATTCAGATTGAGATAATGCAATGTGAACCCTGGCAAGGGCCTGAGAAAAGTCAAAGAAGGCTGGCATGACCGTCACCATGGGGTTGAATGATGGCCCCCTCAGTAGTCACGGACTCAAGGATGCATTTCTCAGTAATTACTTACTCCCATCTCTTCCATCCCAGATGCCCATCAGCCTCTGAAACCCCAACTGCATATTTCTCATGTGCTAGGGTTATTTGTACCTACAGTCTGCTCTCCTCTATGGTGTCACCCACAGTATGGAACCAAAGAAACCCCTCTGTATGTCATGGACCATCTACTGTTTCCTTTGGATTTCAAGGACCAAGCCTGGAGGAGAATGCCATGAGCATTTCCTCCTGCCGTGGAGAACTTCACCTTGCTCCCATCATGCAGATGGAACGGAGGTTCCCAGGACAGTCCAGTCTTATAAATGTCCTCCACCTGCTTAATGGGAGAGAGACCAGCCCACAGAACCGAATCCCCAAAACAGGACTTGGGAATTTAAAGCTGGAAGGCCTCCAGTGAAGATGAGAGCTGGTGATAGAGCCATAAGGACTTTTCCCAGGTGATTCCTCACAAATATGGATGGTGATTCACCAAGGACAGTCTTGACTCATAGGAACCCCCAAGAGGGGAGTCTTTTTTTTCACTCAAGGTTTATTACATACGTTTTTAAAGTAAGGGAGGAAGGAGACCTTTCCTTTTTGTGTGTCTACTTAGATGTTCAAATATTGAACTTATGATATTAATAACCATTTTTTTCCCTCCCTCTGCAAGGTAGGAAAGAGGGAAGTTATAGGTAAATCTTATTTTTATCAATATCTCTTTAGAAGAAACACTAGGGACATCATTAAAACATTCCACCTAGTTCATTCAGTATTGCCAACTAATAAAATAGTGCTTAATGCAGCGGAAGGAAAAGGGTCATTTGCCAACATTTTTGGCATTCCCAGGCAGTGATTCCGGTGACAACAGAATCAAAATGGATGCCTGCCACTTAACTTCACACACATGTTTTCCCCCAGGGTGACACGCTAACATTAGTTTTCTGCTAACCAGCAAAAGAGAAACTATGTCATCTCTGGAGGTTTCTTTAATGTACTCCAGCAAACTCTTTAAAAGCAGCGGTGACTCCCATGCAGATGTCCTTGCCTGTGTTAGGCGAAAAATACCTGCAGTCATTTTGTGGATTAAGCATTCGGTCCTCCTCTGAGCTGGATGTGGCCGAGGAGGCAGAGGACACAGGATAGGTTTGAACCTTGCTGCTAGGACTGAGGCCTGCTACATGCTCCCTAGGCCCAGCCTTGCCAATGCTGAGCCGCTTCCATTTCTGCTGATCTATCTCTGTCACAGGTCCAAAGTGCACAAACTTTTGCCGGAGGCTGGAACCTTTCTTATAGGCCCTCGCTTTGCGGCTGGCCAGGTCATCGCGGATGGCAGTTTCTGCTTTAATTTCTGGTGAAGGCTCAGGGGCGCAGATGTGCTCAACATCTCCATCCCTAGTCAGAACCAGAAATAAAGTCCAAAGGTTTCTAAAGCAAGTATACATCAATAAGACTTTTTTTTTTAATACTAAACATATGAAAAATACTTCTATGGCTAGAGCAGAGTTGCTTTTCCGTTAATCAATCGAATGAAAAAATAACCGCTGTCTTGCCTAGGTAAACAGTGCCTGAAGCTTCCATAGCTTTCAAAATATCACTTCCAATGTCAGAAATGACGGCATAAGAAAATCTTCGGTATGATGAAATAATTAAAATTATTTAAAAATCTAGTTTCATCTCCTTATAGTGAACAAGTCTGTTGAAATAACCATTCACAATAAGGTGGTTGAATTAAAGAGGTTTTCCATTGAAGTGGCTTGTAACTTTTAGTATTAATAAGTTTCAACTCATGCAAAATATACTCTGTGTTTGGAGTATATTTGTTTTCTAGCCATGAAAATAAAGGATGATAGAAGGATAAGCATTTGATTCTTTCAAAGTTAAATAATACCACTGTCAGGGGAAGAAAAACCAATGGAAAACATAACACACCTCGTCTTTCCTGACACCTTCAGTCTCTCCCACGTCTCCAAGTCAGCTTCTGTTATATTGCAGACCTTGACAAAGCTTGGGGCCTCCCGGTGAGGGGCCAGGCTGCCCTGAATTCTCCGCTGTGCCAGGTCATCCTTGTAAATATCCGGCACCTTCCTGAGTCCCTCTTCCACAGGTTCATTCTCCTGAGCCCGCATAATACAGGTCACCATTGACTTCACCTCTTCTGTTTGGCCCTGGTTCCTGTCAGTTTGATTCAGGCCCCCACATCATCGGAAAAATCAGGTTCAAGGAAGGGGAGCAGACAAACAGAATGTCAAGCATGGTCATTCAGAGGTTGAGGACAGAGTGAAATGATGGAAGCACCTTTCCCTTTCTCAAAAAATACGGAGTCATTTGGAGCCTTGATTACTTTTGTCTTTGTCACTTTTTTTTTAAAGATTTTTATTGGGGAACAGTGTGTTTTTCAGGACCCATCAGCTCCAAGTCAAGAAGCTGTCTTCAATCTAGTTGTGCAGGGAGTAAACTCAGTGACCCATGTGGGAATCGAACCTTGGTGTTATGAGCACTGTGCTCTAACCAACTGAGCTAACCAGTGACCCCCTCTTTGTCACCTTTTGACACTGTAATGAGAAGGAGTTTTTTCCACCAGATGACAGACTCTAGTTTAGTTTACGAAGAGAGACCAGGGCTCACTGAAAGACTATTAAGAATGGTAATGAGATTTTGGGTTGACAGTCATGATGCCTAGTTCCCACACTATTCAAATTGCTATAATGAATTCAAGTTTTCAGATTGAATCCCTGAGCCCTCTTGGAATGTCTTTTACTGCACCAGTAAAATGTTAGTAACGAGCTCTGCATGATCCAAATTCTAGGATTAGTTTGAAGATAGCTGGAATGTTGTTCACATAGTAAAACGTCTCAACCATAAACCCACAACTGCCAGAAAGTACATTTAAGTCAATTCCGAACAGAAAGTTCTGATGTTCCAACTCAGTCTCTGCTTCCTGATAGCATTAGTTAGATTTAGCTAATGTAAACCTGAAGAACAGAGTGTATCCCCTTTTCCTGGATCTACAGAGTAAGTTTCTTGTGCTAATAATGGTTTACCTTTGTTGATGCTATAACTGATATTTTCAATTGTTCTCCTAAGAAGTGAACGTTATACTGCTAATGTTGACAATGCTGTAATTTAAACCAAAGCTGTGGCATCTATATGCATAAACAGTCTACACATTAACAGTCAATTTCCAACTAAATAGGCTTCTTGAGATACAAAATCTCAAAATTATACATAAATAGGGCTATTTTTTTTTTCAAAATATATTGTCCAAGCCAGAAAACCAAGAGGTATTCTTTTGTTACCTGGATGATTTTGTGTATTTGCAGGGCCTGTGCAAATGGGAAGGCTACACAATTTTCTATTTACTTTTAGTTTGGGGAAGGGGACAAGGAAGGGCATAGCAAAGGGTCACCAGGGAGCCTTCTTTTTTCATCAGTTCTTTGATGTTCTCTAGAGAGGTCATGGGCTGTCCCAGACCCAGAACTGTGTCCCTAAACACAGAGTCAGGTGACAACAGACAAATGCAGCTGGAAATAACAGGAATTAAAATTGCATGCTGGAGAAAGGAAAAAAGGGAGATACAAAAGCTACTCCTTTTCCTAACTCAAGTTGCTGATCCCCATCACTATGCCTTGATGCTAGTCAGTTATCCAGAAGTCTTTGTTTCACTTGCAACAACTGATCCCTCCCACAAGGCCCTCCTAGAATGGTTTGTTACAAGGCATGCCAACAAGCCCTGCAGAGACCAAGAGCCTCCTAAAGCTATAAGGTGTCCTGTTAAAAAACTGTGCCAGTTCTTCTGTGCTCTAATCCTTGTCCTACATCCAGGAATCTTTCGTGTGTTTTATGTCTGGTACTTCCTAAAACAACAAAAGCAAAACACAAACTACTCCACCGAGCTCAATAACTCTGCCCAAAGAACCATTTTCATTGTGTAAAACACAGTTGGGATATTTATATTCTTAGTTCAATACATTTACAAACCTCTTAAGTGATCGGCAGAAGATAGCAATTAAATAATGAAGAGGCAAACTCTGATTTTGATATAAGGAAAACATACAAGAATGACCAACTCTGCATGATGAAATTTAGCAAGCTGATACCTTATGCAAAATCACATACCTCTCAGGATAAAAGTCACTGGCCAAATCACATTTCACTACAAGTTTTCTTTTCCAAATTAAGAGGATGGGAGAAGAGTTGGGAGCAGGAAACTCATTTAAAAAGAATTTCCATGATAGAACAAATAGAAGTGTATTATATGTTTAGAAATTTTTTTTTTAATGAGAAATCCATCATCAAATGTCTGGGTGATCTTGATGGTGTGAGGGAAGAAACAGCAAGCCTCATTTTTTCCCCTTCCAATATTTATACGGAGTTAATACAAGAGAGGAGCTTTAGCTAAGGAGTATCTATGTTTTCTGCCTGCTCTGAATGGACTAAAGCAGCCTTGAGAGGTGGCTATTCCCTGATAGGCAATGGCACATGTCTGTTTGTGCCATTAATGCCAATCTATGACACCAGCACCCATACGTGGTTATGTACCCAGAGACAGCACATCGAAGTTTATTTGGTGAATTTGGCCCTATTTTCGACATGGCCTTCCCACTCTCTGCCATTGCATTTAGGGAGATGGGCTATCTGGAGTTCCACCTCAGAATAAATCACCATTACCAACTGTATGTAATTGGGGCAGGAAAAAGGAGTAAGGGGGGGCTATGATACAAATCACTTTCACTTAATTATGTTCTCTCTGTCTCTCTCTCACACACACAGTGCACACCTTTTATATTCTAGACTTTTCTTTTCTGAGATTCCCTTTGAGGGTTGTTTGCTGCTATCTGATTTCTCTGCCTCTTTTTTCCGGTAAGGCCCATACAGGAGTTGATTCAGCGGCACCGTTGGCTTGGCCTGGTTCATCCTTGCTCTCCTTGCAGCAAAGTCATCTTTCTCAAGATCAGGCCGTTGACGGGCAACTTCATCTTCTGACTCTGAATCTTTGCCACGTTGGTGAGTCAGGAAAGGGTTTTCTTGGCGAAGAACAATATCGCGAACAGCTTCTTTCTCATCACTCAATTGCTTTTGACTGAGAGAGCAAACGGAACTCCACATGTGATCAGACCAAAAAAATATTTTAAATCCCCATCTCCAGACAGCAACTATGTTGTTAGTGAAAGGGTCTTCTCCATATCATTAGTTCAGATGATATCTGTTTACTATTTTAGTCCAGAGTTGCAGCATAGTTAGGGCGGGTTTTAAAATGTCGAGTTTAGCCAGCTACTAGCAACATTAAAATTTCATTTCATTTACATTGCCCCATCAGCATCGGAAAGGCAGGATCCTAAATGGCTCTGAAAGTGACAATCCAAATTCTTTTCCTTAAATTTGGAAGAGCAGGAAGCTTTCTGTTGTTCTTTAGCACATAGTAATATGCCCAATAGGTACTCAATTTGTTTTTGACTGACAGGGTAAAAATTTGAGCCAAGACACTGACCTGGGGGAAAGCTAATGAATGCAGCTATGACACAGCACACCTAGAATGTGTACCAGATTGCAAAGTGTAAAAAGGTCTTTCTGCAGAGCTGAGCTAACCTGAAACATCTGGAAGTGTTTATGACCATTCACAGGATGGACCCAAGGCATAAAAGGTTATCCTGCCCTGCACCCACCCTCTCATCAGCAACCCTTTCTTCCACCTTCTACTCCATGACTCTCTACCTCCCACTTCTTCTTCTTTGTCATATGCTAGATGTCAAGCAAATCGTGGGTAAGACATTTTGCCACAACGGCTTAAAAATCATCCCTTTGGGCTATTTCCATTTTCAAAGAAGTCTTGAAGACCCCAAAATTTAAATTCCTAGAGGAATGCAGTTTAATGGTAGATATCAGGACTTTTTCACGTTCTTTTGGTTTTACTTTTTGTTGGCAGTGGGTGGATGGGAATACAGTTGATTGCGCCTATCTGGTATTCATACAAACCCCTCTCCCCTTACTCATAAGATCAGCCTTGCTTTTAAGTAATAATAAAATGTTACAACTTTCAAAAATCATTTATCTTCTCAGTTCATAAAGCTGTTAAGCAAATAAAATACCTTGACTTCTAAAGAAAGTTCCCCTGCTTGGTATCCAATTTCTGAGAGAGGATTAAGAGTAAATTCTTCATCCTCAAAGGACAACTCATCTCAGAAATGAAGACAGGAGGAATTAGCCTGGCTAAGGGTAAAATGAGTAATGAAACTCTGTGTTCTCTGGTCAAGCAGGTGGCCCACTATCTGTTGCTCTGCCCGCACGGCTCCAGAGGAGGCCAATATCTTAAGAGCACAGCAGGCCCTCACTCCATTTGACTTTTGGAAAACCAAATCATCATCAGTCATGCCCAGAAAACTCCTTCTCACTGCTGACTATTGTTCTCAATACAATTTTAAAACACATTATTTGGAGGTGATTGGTGGCGCTTTGTTCCCTGAATAAGTTTATTTCTTAAAATATGAAATCCCACCCTTTGCGTTGTACCCCTGACGCTCAGGGTCCTGCCTGGCTACTCCTGGACCGTGCTCAAGGTCCTCCTTGCCTCCTTAGCCAATGTGTCTGGCAAGTACCAACTGGTGCTGGTTGGCTGTGGCCATTAAAAATGGTCAGCAGGAAATGATAGGCCATTGAATCAATCTCTTCAAAAAGGCTTTCTTTAAAAAGCACACTGATGCAGACAAAGAGGGTGGCTAATGGTCATTGATGCGTACCATGTGCTAGAATTTTTTCTATGTGTTAATTCATTAAACTCTAATACTAGCCCTGCGATGTTAGTGTTATTAGCAACCCCCTTTTATAGAGTGGAAATTCAGATCAGGTTAACAGATTTGCCCAAGGTCAAAGCGCCAGTTCGAATTCAAACCCAGGCAGTCTGGCTCCAGAGGTCGTGTTCTTAACCACTGTGCAATTCATTAAACAAAAGAACAGGGCAGGAACAGTTTTGAAAGCAAGAGCATCATACAAAAAAATAAGGCATTATTATTACTAGGGAGGTAGAAGAAAGAGAAGTATTTTGGTTACTAAATAAAAGGATCCTGTGTGTGGTGCTTAGAATGGAGTTGAGATTTGCATTGTAGGTTACAGAGAGCAATGTTCCATCAGGATTAATGACAGTAGAATGCTAACTAACCATACCTTACAATGCTGGCATAGCACTTTACAGTGTACAAAGCCTTCTCACACTCATTATCTCATCTCAGCTGATCCAACTCCAATTCCAGTATGGGAGCAGACCTCTAACTTGAACCTCTTAATTCCAAGAGTAGCACTTTTTTCTATTTTATGACCCGGGGTCCTGGGTTTCAATCTCCCCCAACTCAGGCAGAATTCTTTGGATAAAACGTATGCATTTATGCAAATGGCCGTGCCAATTTGTGATGCCAATTTGAGCAGAGAGAATCTGGTGCCTTATGCATCAAGTGATCTCAATTTAGATGTGGACTTAAAAAAAAGGGGGGGTGAAGAATGCTTTCCGTATCATTGGTTACGTAAAGCCACTCCCTGCTCATTTGAAAAACTAGTCACAATGACTGGTTTTCTGCTAATTGCTTGAAACCTGTAAGTTCAGAGCTTCAGAGAAAGAAAACAAAAAACAAAAAACCCCCAAACTCTAGGCCAGCACTGTTGGCCATGACGTAACAAATATGTATAAGGCAGAACATAAGACTGTATTCACAGGGGTCTAGTTACCAAAATACTTAAATGATTTTTTAATAAGGTCCTTTTTATCCCCCTTGAAGGACCTTAAAGGAAGTCTATTGTGAAGTTTCAATACAATCTACTTTACTTTTCAATAATTATAACTCTCTGAGCAGCTAGTACCTTCCAGATATACTGACTTTCATGACAACCCTGTGAGATACCAATTCTGATGCCCACTTTACAGGCGGGAATGTCGAGGTTTCTGGTTCTAGTCATCTGAACTTAGGGAAATTAAGTAAACTTAAGGGGCAGACCCAAGCTGTCTGGCTTGATATGTGGAGCTTTGGCACTTTTATTTTTCCCAAGTCATTCATAGATGAGTTGCTTTGGGAAGAAGGGGTGGCTCTGTGGGCACAGCTCACTGCTTCACTTAGAAGGAATCGGGTCCAATGTGAAAGGAGAAATGCCAGGCCCTGCCTCCAACCTGGCAGTCCTGGGCAGCCTTGTCTAACACAAGCGAGGCTAGCTTTGTGGCAGAGGTTATGGACTCGAAGCAGGGGAGGGGGAAGAAAAAAACTCTCTTCTCTACGTCTCTAAGGCTTATATATTTCAAAGTGAATGAGATAATGATTTAGACTAAGGAAGAGCTGGCATTTTCTTTCACCCCCTTTGACTTGGCAACACACAAACAACCAGCTCAGATTGGCAGGCAGCTTGTTCTATTGAAAGAAACTGGGCTTTCCAGAAAAGCCTGTTAGGCCTCCTGGGAATGTCCTGGGCAACACCAGAAACATCCCTATTTCACTCAGCATCCAAACAGGGCAGCTACATCCAGAGTCACAAAGTTCAGGCAGGTTATGTGTCTGCCTGGTCCCCGATCCCCAAAGATCTGTTCGGCAACAGCCAGTGACACAGGCATCTGGTAACGAGCGATATAGAGGAATACGTGTCTGGCACTTAGCTGCATCTGCGCTTCCTCTAAAAATTTCTAAAATGTCTATTGTTCCTCAGAGGTTTTTTTCCCCTCTGTAATTAATTACTATGTGGTTGAGAAGATCCACAGACTAGCAGAAAATACTGAGTGCTGAAACATATGAAAACAATTAGAACAGAAGTATAATCATGTGAAACCTATAATTCAGTTCAAAAAAGAGTTTACTTCTCCAATGGGAAACACCAAGTCAGAGAACTCAAATCTCCATAGTATTTTAATTCAGGGGAAGTGCATCTTGGTTTTTATTTTATCCTCTTGAAAACAGAAATCTTGGCTTCTTTGACAGAGTAGTCTCATATTTGGGGGGTAATTAAAATAGCTTCACCATAAACTAAAATAGAAGGAAAAGTACGTTCTATACTTTTTTACTTCAGTGGCAAGCCTAATAAATATTAAACTCTGTACATTTATTAGGAAGTTCTACTTTTTGTCCCTAGATGCTAAGATATCTCCTAATATATTGTTTGACAGGAAGCCTGGGACTTCTAGGCTTCTAAATTTATGTGAAAATGGAATAACATGCACCTTTGCTCTTTTTTTATATATTGCATTAAAAATAATACAGGGAGGTGTTTGAGAACGCTTGGGAAAGAACGACAGCAACAGAAACAGTCTAGAAAGCTGTGTTCTTGTCTGCTTGCCTCCATCCCTTGCCCATGCCTCTACACTCTCGCCTGTCTCTACAAACACAGACTTGTCCAGCTAAGAAACGGGAGAGGGAAATATCTTGGGCCTCTTGGGTTCAAAGATGTAGCGGTCAGAATTCATCTGGATGGCCAAGATGGGAGACCGAGGTTAAAATGGTTTAAGAGATGTCAGCATATTTAAATATTTATATTCTTATTTTCTAGATATCAAGAATACTTTTCTTCTTCATGATATGCATTTCATTCCAGTGAAGGTACTTTCTGCCACATTAAAAGCAGGATGCCAAATGTGGATAAACTTAGAGTGACTCTCAACTCTCTAGTGGGCTGCAAAAAGTAAGTGACAAAGACACAGACATGCCAGACTAGTGGCATGGTATGTATAAAACCTTTATGAGAGAGCTAGCAGCTGAAACATTGGTCTAACATATGAATTCTGGGTGTTTGGAGCAACTGTGTCACACTACTATTGGGGATATTCTCTGGGAATACACATAATTTTCACAAACCCAATTTTAAATGTTAAGTCAGAAGATCTAAGGTGTGATGAAACTAACTGACCTGCAAATTTCCATTTAATAGAGCTAAGTGGATAAAATATGTAAAAATTAAGCCGATAACAGGAAACGTGGACAGGGGCAAAAATTACCACATAAATGTATCCATCAATCAGAATTATCTTTGTAAACTAACCCTGATTTTAGGTTTGTGCATAGAATGAGACTAATCATAAAAGATTTCAATGTTTTATCAGAAAAGAAATCCCCCAGTTACTGAAGTGGCAGAGTACACTCATGGAATTTCCAGCCTTTGCCCAAACTCTTCTTTTCCCTATATCACTGTGATTCCTGAGTTTGCTGAGTTACCTTCATGTAGCTCTCCACTCATCTCCCTTTGCTCTTTTGGACACTCTAAAGATGATATAGAGGTTCCTCAAAAAATTAAAACTAGAACTACCATACGATCCCACGATCCCACTTCTGAGTATTTATCCAACACAACTGCAATCAGGATCCTGAAGAGATATGTGCCCTCCCATGTTCACTGCAACACCATTCACAATAGCCAAGAGGTGGAAACAACCTAAAGGTCCATCGACAGGTGAATGAAGAAAGAAAATGGGGCCTATACATATAATGGAGTAATATTCAGCCTTTAAAAAGAAGGAAATTCTTCAATATTTGACAACATGGATGAACCTTGAGGACATCATACTAAGTGAAACAAGCCAGTCCTAGAAGAAAAAACTATTGCATGATTCCACTTACATGAAGTATGTAAGAGTCAAATATGTAGCATTGAAGAGTGGAATGGTGGTCGTCAGGGCTGGGAGAGAGGGAAATGGGGAATTACTAATCAATGGGCATAGCGTTCCAGTTAAGCAGGATGAATAAATTCTAGAGATCCGGTGTACAACACTGTATCTATAGTTAACAGTACTGTATTGTACAGTTAAAAATTTGTTCAGAGGGGAGATCTCACGGTATGTTCTTACCACAATAAAATATTTTTAAAAAGAAAAAATGGCAAAAGAGATGAGATAATTTATGGAAGATAGTCAACCATATTAGTAAGCATGACAAAAATTAATTTTAAAAATGGCACTTTAAAAAAAAGTGGCAATTTTTAGGCCGGCTGAGTGGCTCAGTTGGTTAAGAGCTCGTTCAAGAGTTTGAGCTCTGAGCAACAGCGGTTCGAGTCCCGGCCCGAGCTGAGCAGCCGCTGAGCTGCCAACAGGTGGCAGGATGGCTCAGCTAAAAAAAAAAAGAAAAAAAGTGGCAATTTTTGAAAATGATAAAATGGAAAAAAAAGATGATGGTGTTTGGTTAATTTTAGCTTAAAGAATTCACAGATGTGATAAAAATGAAGGTATGTGTCAAAAATATTAAGATTAAAATTTTTTTGGTAAATTCGTACTCTTACCTATATCACTTATTACCTATTTTCACTGGGCCCTAAATTTAAAAACAGAAACAGGAAAAGTCTGAAAAATGGTACATGGAAAGGAGATATTATTCATTTTTGTGTTCTTAGCATCTATCCTGCTCTGTGATACTGGTAGGTTATGTTTAAAGAAATATGTGTCTGACAAGGTTGTTGAATGCAAATTTAAAGAATATCTGGGTTTGTTTCTGTTTTTAAGATTTTACAGCATTACTCTTCATTATTTCAGAAACCCACCCAGAAAGCTGCTTTTAACACAAGCATGACTTTCTATTAGAGTTTTCTAAAAGCACATCTATGTTTAAGATAGACATATTTATCTGTGGGACACCACAGACAGGGAAAAAGACATCCTTGGTTTTTCATCAATACAAAGCTATTATAGGATTCAATCCATAGAAATTAATGCTGGAACTTTCAGTTGAGACCTAGACCACAGCAATAACCACATACGGAACTGTACAGAGAAATGGAAAATGTCCCATTAAGTGTGTGGGAGGCAGATGTGTTACTGTGGTCGAAACATCTGAACTGGCCACCAGGTCAGCAGTATCCAGCTCTGAGACTGGCAAGTCATTTACTATCACTGATCCTCAGTTTACTCTTCTCGAAAATGGGTATGTCACCTATCAGGATTAAATGGAAGAGCAAATGGCAAAGGAATTTCAATTGTCAAATGGTTATGAATTTCAATTCATCAAATAAATTTTGGTCTCACTGTTATTTGTTAAGATCTTTGTGGTTATTATGTGAGAAAAATTAACCAGCTTCTCAAACCACTAAATAAAACTGTAGACCTATAGTTTTCTGTGACTGACTGCTGAAGGTCTCCATCTCACATGTAATATGAAGCCATCAGGACTGTATACTAGTACCTTTGTTACAATTAAGAGAAGTAATTACTCCATTCTTTGTTTCTGAATCAACATGCTTTAGAAAAGGAATCAAATAAACCCAGTCTTTCTTACTACTCCCTTGGGACAGAGGAAGTAAGTGGATTTTTGTAAGCCAGCCACTCTTTCTAAAGAGAGTGCTCCCCATTTCAAAGTAACTATTTTCTAGTGATGTATAAAGGAAGATAAGAGCCATTTAGGAGGAGTGTGAAAATTAACAGGCCACAAACCTTTGAAAACTAAAATGTTATTGCTAGGTAAATCGTGCAGCCCACAAATGACTGACCACAATTCTTGACTAGGGCAAGGTCTAACCAAGCAGCAAGAAGCTCACTCTTTATTCACCTCCATTTAAAATAACCAACTACTTAAGCAGAGACATGCCCAAGGGCAGAGACTATTAGCTATTTCTATTTGCTCCAAGTAGGGAATAGTGATGCAATGGGAAAAGCAGGAGATGGGAAAACAAAATGGAAACTCCAACAAGTCAGACAGATTCCAAACCCCCAGGCATGCACAAAGCCAGCCGGGCCAGCCCTCGGCCTTCTGAGCTAACCTGGCAAAGCGCTGTGCTGCTGGCATGACCTTGATTCCAGCTTGCTCTAGCCTTCTGCGCTTTTGGATTTCAGCAGCGTCTTTTAGGTCAGGCTTGAGGGCTGGTGCCACCGCAGCGCCCTCTGGAGGAGGCTGCTCCTTACCACTGCAGGTGGGTAATTCTAACCCACCATCAGAAGGCTTCCCACCAGGATCCATTTGGCCGACTGGGTCCTCTTCACAAGGAAACCCCACTTCACTTCCCTCTTCCTCTATTGTTTCGGGATAGCTAGTGAGTTGAACAATATGGTTTACCAAACTAACAGAGTGCGCTGGGGAGCAGACCACACGTCATCTCCTGGTCATTCTGAGATTACTTTCCACTTAAAAAAAAAGTCATAGCATGCAATATGATCCTTGTAGTGTGAAGAAAATTAAATTTAACCATTTGTCAATTAATACAATTCATTGTAATATCAACATGGATTAAGAGCTATTTCAAAATTGATATTGAAAGGCAAAAATCTTTTCTGTGGGAAAGGTTAAAATTTATGTTTTGTTCAATAATTAAAACTTTTCATAAAATGCTTGTTCAATGGAAAAATGATAGATAATAAAGGTAGACTATTAGAAATAACCATGCAATAATCAGTGTGGTTTTGTTGAAAGTATTAGAGTGTACTGTAAGTTTCTTTTATTGGACTATAAGGTTCTTGAAGGCAGGGACTCTTACCTCATTTACTATTAGGTCCCCAATACCTAAAAGACAGCACCTAACATGTAGTAGATGCTCAATAAATACTTGCTGAATACATAAATGAATAAATACAAAAACCATAATCAGAAATTAGGGAAAATATTGCTTGTTTCTTTAAAGAGATGAGAAATCCAATGTATCATGCATTTATTACCAGTTTCTACATATGATTCTGAAGCATGTTATATACATCCCTTACATACTTGAGCTTGTATCTAAATAAGCATGCATCTCAATAAAAATGTCTTTTTGCCTAAAGATAAGCCTTTCTGCATCTAATATAACAGGAGTAGGAGTCAGGCAGTCTCCACCGAAGGACGTGGATGACAGATCTGTTCTCAATGTTCTGTCAATAGTACTGGTTACAAAAATCTGCTCGTTAGACAAGTATTTGTTGACTACCTACTGTGTGTCAGGCACTGTTCTAGGTGCCTTCCTGAAGCTTATGCTCTATCATGATAATCTTTCTCCAAAGGTCTGTTCTGCCACCTCCATTAGTAATCTTGCATCCAAGTTCTGAAATGGTTATTTGAGTACTTTCATGTCCAGGAGCTATAAGTCCTACACCACTCATGTTCAAGCCAGGATGGGAGTAGCAGAGCTCAGGCCTTACCTGAAGGGCCTCTCCCCACCCAGAGGGGAGGTGGCGGTGCTCCAGCTCTTCCGATATTCCTCTCGCTCGGCTTTCTTCTTTCTCAGCGGAGCAGGGACATAGGCTGTCTGATTGCTTTTGTTCGGGAGGTACTGGTTAAAAGGCACTGCTGATTTCGGCTCACCATGGGAAGTCCGCCTGGCAGACATGTCATCCTTCTTCACATCCGGCAGCTTCCGATGTGGCAAGTCGGATTCAGAGTCACTGCCTCTCCCTGTGGAAGAGAGGATGGGTCCTGAGAATTGCGCTGGGCTTGCAGAGTTCCTGATGGCACGTATGCAGTATTAGGGATTTGGCTAAATCTGTGGGTTTGGGGGAATTCCTTCCTTCAATTATTCACTTAACAAATCTAAAGTAGCACTCTAAATTAGTCTACTCTGGGAAAAATGCTCAACTCTAATCAGGAACAAAAAAGTCAAATAAAAAAAAAAACAGAGGTAAGCCTAACTGTATCTGAGAATTACAATTAGCGATACATTTGCAATACCACTATATGCCTGCTCAGATCCTGTAATTCTCAAAAAAAAAATTTCAACCAATCAAGTTTTTACTGAGCACCTGCTGTTCTGTGTGTTACCCTGTGTTAGACATTCTGACAAAAATTATAAAAGATTTTGTCTTTGAGTTTACCTTTAACTAACCCATGAAATACCTGGAGAATATTAGTTATAATCAAGGAGCACAGACATTAGGAGCTATAGGAATTCAGAGCTGTGACGACCTGCATTACAACAAGGATTTGCTTTCCAGGCAACGGTTTGAGTTACAATAAATGTATATTGCCCTTCATCAGAGCCCTGCCTGGTGCCCACTGCTGGAGGCAATCTTTTTTCCCTGTGAACCTTATGGTCCAATGATCTATTTTCTCCTTTGGGCACTTTTTACTTTCTACCATGGATTTTGAGAACAAGGGCTTTATATCACCCACAGTACTTATTACAGTGTCTTTGCACACAGTGGGCGTCTTCAAACTGTCTGATGAATACATGAATTGGTTTGGCTTAAAGAGGGTTTTAGGCAACGCAGAAACATCCGTTTGCCAACATCAGTCTTTCATTGGGAAATAGCGCCAATAATTAATTCTAGTGTATCCTTGTTTCCCGAGTCTCATATCACTAGATTTCTAAGATCTAAAGAGTGAAGCTGTCATTAAAACAAACACTGCTATTTATAGGTAACCACCATTTTAATGCTGGTTGAAAATCCTTAATCGATGAGAGCATTAAAAGGCTATTCAACTCCAAAGAGAAAATTACCTATTTACACTCGTGAAAAGAGCCTAAACTAAGAGTCAAGAGATGCGACAGCCTAGCAGAGTGGGAAGTGTCCAGGGTACGAAGTCAGATCCATTTCACGCTAAGCTCAGCCTACTCAGTAACTATGAGCCTTTGCATTCATTACTTCACCACTTGAAGCCTCAGTTTCCCAATCTGTGAAGTGAGGGTAATAATACCATCTACTGTATGGGCTGTTGGGAGGCTCAGACACCTGTAAAACTACTGGTCCAGTACTTGGCCCACAGTAATTGCTTAATAACTGCTGATTCTGCTTTATGTCATAATAGTTTGCGGTCTGTCAATCATGAGCTGTGGGCTGAGGCGTGTCTCTAACACACTTGACTGTCCTTTTCTATAACCAGGAATGAAACGATTTGCCCTGCAGATGAAATGATTTAATGGCTTTTAAAAGACTGTAAAAGTTAAAAGCATTGACCATAAACAAGTTGTTCATTGTGGCAGATAAAATATTCAGCTTATGAATTATTCATGCCACTTGCTTTCGGTCACTGAAGCTTTGACCATTTCATTGCTTGTTAGTTTTTCATTTGTAACTTAGTTTCCTTCCCACCGCAAGTCTTTTATCAAGTAGTGTACATCTGTCTCCAGTGTCATGACCAAATGTTTAGAGCCCTATGAATTAAATAGTAAATACTACTTTACCTTGCCAAGCTCTTAGATTTGTTTCCCTATTTAATATTATCCCCATTTTATAAAGGTGGAAATGGAAGGCCGGAGAGGCCAAGAGAGCCCCTTCTCCATGGCTGGTTAGTAATGGTTAGGGACTCCAATTTCTGTTCTTCAGACTCCCAGGCCAAAGGTCCTTCCTCTGGGACAGACTTCTCTTGTCCTCTGCTTAAAGCATCCTGACTAGGGGAAGCATTGTACTTTGTTGAATAAATGAGTGAAAGAAAATGATTCTTCAATCAATTACAAAGGATTAGTAATGGATTAGAATTGTCTCACTTCTAAAATCGTATAATCTATGAACCTTATTTGTGTACAATATCTAAAATACATATATTATCTATAAAATACTGAGTGAAAGTCTCAAAATAGGTTGTTTAACACATAAACAGATCACTCTTATTATTTATTTAAACATTTTTATCAAAGTCTGATCCTTCCTTTCCATGGGGCTACATTTCTCTCCCTTAGAGCAAAAAAAGATTTTTTTTTAAACATATCTTTGCCATACACACTCCTAACACTCTGCTTTTAAATCTTTCTCTAGCATTTTAATTTCTCTCATTCTTTAGTTCTCTCCCTTAACTCGTCTTTTATATAAAAGATAAGAGTATTCATTTAACAAAATGAACCAATTTATAAAATATGTTCTTAATTTTCAAAGTACCTGAGTAGAAGTTTTTGTATTTCTTCTTCAAGGAGGCTCACTAAATGGCCTCAGAAGGAATGATAGTGAAGGTGAGGGAGAAATTGGCACCTCCCTAAGCAAGACAGATTGGCTGAATCGCGCCACGGCATCCCTATCAGGTAGCTCTTGTGTCCAACCCGTAGAATCAATGAGTGTGGCTCTTGACTGTCCCTATTGATTGGGTCAGTGGGCCTCAATAATAATAAAAACAGAACCTCTCCATATTGTCCCAATAGGGAGTTGGAGAATCTGATGGCAAGACTTTTCCTAACGGATGATGAGTCCTAGAAGATAAATTTTCAAGGCTTAATAAAAAAATTCTCTTAAATTTGAAAGTGTTTATTAGGGCTAGCAATCTTCTTGATTAGCATCATTTAAAAAGATCTACCATAAACTTTAAGGAAATACAACATCTATGTGGATAAAATTATACTAAACTTTTCTAGGCAGATAAAAAATGTGCTGCTTTTCTTTAAAAACCTCATTAGGTCTTGATTAGTTTACAAGAACATAAGCCTGAAGGTATCAAGCTGATTGGTGAAATGTGTGTGTAAGATGCTCTTTCATGGATGATGTTTTTTGTGAAGCTCAATTTCATGTTATTCTTTAGATGGAAAAAACATTTATAAAAAGACTCTAGCTATCAATCTTAATTGCTGCAAACTAAATTGTGCCTCTGCCCAGCGACAATATTAGTAACCACCATCTCAAATCCCTTCAAGATGTGGTTCCTTATAAACTCTGAACCCCTGGAAGCTGGTGACAGAATAAACAAAGGATCTACATTACCAGTTATAAAAACCAAGATGAGGAAAATAATAATTTTTTTTAAACAATCAAAATAATATGGATAAAATCATCTGGTTAAGATAGGTTTTGCAAAAGTAGACCCACCTTTGAGTTATGTTAAAGCTCAGTTACATCATGCACTTGGTTCTGTAACTTCTAAACCTGTGGGTGGTACTTGAGAGGTCATATAAAATTTTAGAAATGTTTTTCAAGCCACTCATAATGTACCATGGAATTCTTCAGGAGTCACATACTATGTGTCCCTGAGGCTAATCTATTTGTTGGAAGGTTTAAGTACTAAACAAAAGGGTTTAGTTCAGACATTTCAGAATTCAAAAAATCCACTAGGCAAACAAAGAAGTGTGGGTAAATTAAGCTTAAGAGTTTAAATTTTGGACTCATAATTCCTGAGGCTCACATTGCTACACTACTTACAGACAGTGATTTTTGTCACTCACCAAGGTTAGGAAGAAAACTTACCCTCTCTAACGTTCATCTATAAAATACAGATAAGAAGGAGTGTCTCACAGCTCTGTGAGAGGGCCAAGTGAGACATTGTGTGAGTAGCTCATAATCTCTGCTGAGGACTAAATGAGATACTAGCAGTCAAGGAATTAACTCAGGACCTGGACACATTAAGTATCCACATAGTTTAGTAACATAGAATTTTATAGCTGAAAGGACTCTTCTAGCGATAAAAGATTATTTTCATCTCAGAGAGCGGCTTAAATCTCTAGAAATATTAGCATCAAGAGACACCTTTAAAAAAATACAAACAAAAAATTCCCCACCAGCATTAGCATCTTTCTGCAAGTTTATACATGCAGAACTAAGCCATCCCCCTTCCTAAACGTGCCAAAGTGTAAGATATTAAGGTAAACAGCTTCTGGAAAATAGGCATTAAATTTATATCAGTTTGCATGACCACACATTTTTGTAAAGAAAAATGATCATTCCTTACAGGTGATATAAAATCTGCGGGATTTAAATCAAACCCAGCCCCAGAACAGGCAGTCCGGGCTGTGTACTATACATTAATGGCCACCTGCATCGCTCTAGTCAACAGTCAGGTATCATATGCATCAAACAGATGGCCCAAACCGTTCCAATTAAAGTTTAGCAACCCCAGACTTCAGAACTTTTTCTAAGTGTGTGTAGTGTGTTTCCAGTTTGCTGGAAGTTGATCCCTTTTCGCTTACACAGTGTGGCACTCACTCCAACATTTCCCTTCCTCATACCTGGAGTATATAAACCTTCGGCCCACTTTATGAGCTAATGGTCTGCACAGCGTCTTGATTCACTGAGACCAAGGGAGGAATGATGTCACACATTTTCCAACAGAAGATATGCTCACTGAGGCAATATTCAAACTGCTGGCAAAGCCAACCCAAATTCTAAGGACTGTGAAAAACAACATTAAAAGACTCTTCTTGTGCCAGTTTAGAGTTATCAGGTTCTGACTTCTCAGTGCCAATCCCTCCACCGGTGACAAGGCAGCCCTTGTTCATGTTTAATTCTAAGATGTGCAGTTTATGGAGGCTCCAACCTACCATCGCTGCTTCCCCTGAGGACTACATCTGGCGAAGGTGTCTGCCGGGAACGGGAGCCAAAGGAATCCAGGCTGTCGAAGGAATCATCTCTGCCGTGGCGAGGGGGAGAGAGAGAGTCGCTGCGCTCAGAATCCCAGCAGTCGATGTAGCCACTGTCTCGGATACTACGTTTAGGACTCTCAATGTCATCAGTCTCCTGTCCAAAAATAAAACGAAAGGATTACAGACACTACAGCAACAGATGTTGAGCTTACAATATCAGGAAAATCGGTCTCCTGTGGTTCCCCTACACCCCCCAAATCCCTGCATCTAGTGTCAGTATTGACAGGTTATGGCAAACAGTTATTGAATCGATTATCATCTACAAGCCAACATTTCATTCTCTAACGCTTCCCTGCTGGCTGTAACTTTCCCAATCAGAAAATCACACACATTAAGAAAAACAAACAACAAAACAAAACAAAACACAAAAACCTAGTAGCTCTTACTCTGCACTGTTTTTTTTAAAAAACAAAAAATCAAAGGAATTAAGAATTAAAGATCACCAAGCTTGGATTCACAAGAATCCTGTGACAGATGAAAACAAAAGTGAAAACTAAAACCTTAACCTTGACCGATCTTTCAGAATCCATAACTGCATATCTGTCCTGGGACAGAGCCTCTAGTTTAGCAGTGCAACTGCTCCCGTTCATGCAATCTGGCAAATGCACGCAGCATTTGTTTTTGCAAAAGAATCAGGTCCGTAAAATCCTGGAGCAGCACGCTTCCATCTCCTGCTACCTTGAAGGGGAATTCCTGCTCTGAAAGGGAGCTGTCTTTCTGAGGCAAAAAGTTTAAAAAAAAAAAAAAAGCAATGAAAAATATGCAAAATGCTTTTCCTGATGCCTCAGAAGAATCCAAGCATGCTCTCGCTCGGCCAGCTCTTGGCGCTGGGGGAGCTGAAAGCACTTGAGGCTGACCCACATGTTCAGAGCAGCGAGAACAATGGCTGTCTTTGACAGCCTGTGATTATAAATTCTTTCCAGCGCAAGCAGCACATACTAAAACACTGAAACTCCAGCAGGAGAAAGGTCAGTCAAAGCCATCCTCACCCTTGTGTTATAATAAAAGCCTTGTTCCCGCCAGTGTCTTAGCATTAATTACAATAGTCCAGGCTGACGAAAACAAAAATAACTCCGGTCACTGAAAGATAAACCTCAATTTAATCTCCCCCAGACCGTCGCTTAAAAACGGGGCCGTGCATGACATTGGCAGCGGGGCATGTTCTCATCTGCAACTACTGGAATGTCACACTGGATTTGCTGGGATGCTCAGGAAAGTCCCCTCCACATTCCCAGTGAAAAGAAAACAATAAATATTCTCCATGTTCGAGATTGTTGGAAATTGTCTGTACAGGCTAACATGCCCGCTGGAGCCAAAGCCTTTGTAGGAAGCACCTTTGCTGGCTGCTTCTATCAATTATATCCAGATCCTCTGACACAATCCCCAGTGGGAGGCACTTTGAGGGGACGGAGTGGCTGTAATTCACAAGGCACACACAGGTTTTGCATCAAGAGAAGAGGGTGGGAGAGAGCAGAAGGGCAGGGCTGAGAGGAGCACCCCGCGGTCTCCACACTGAGGACCTGATTAGCGCCCCTGAAGAACGGGCTGTCAAGTGGCCTGGGTGAGTACAGCTGACATGACTCTCCGGAGGAAGGCAGAAATTCCAGTTATGGAAATTAAGGTAGTTTATTTGTAGGTCAGAAGTTAACCAGGACTTGAACAAAAGCCAGGACTGACTAGCTGGAAAAGGAAGAACTCATGACTAATGGAAAAGTATAGATCTAAATTGGATATGGTTTCATATTTAATTTCTTTGAAAAGGCAAGTAATTATCTTGGATTATTTATCCACTGAGAATAGGCCAAATGCTTAAAAATGAAGTTCACTTTTATTGAACACTTACTATATGTCTGGGGCTATGCTTGATGCTTTTTATTTTTTATTATTATTATTTTTTAGCTGAGCCATGCTGCCACCTGTTGGCAGTTCAGCGGCAGCTCAGCTCGGGCTGGGAATCGAACTGGCAACCCTGTTGCTCAGAGCTCACACTCTTGAGCAAGTTATTAAACAACTGAGCCACTTGGCCGGCCCTGCTTGATGCTTTTTATACGTTAATAGTATCTAATCCTCACATACCCCACCCCAGTGATGTGGTTAGCATTGTCCCCATTTTACAGAAGAGAAAAGTAAGAATCAGAGAGCATAAGTAACCTAACTGAGGTCACACAGTAAGCAGCAAAACTGTGATCCCAACACAGGCCTCTGTCTCCAAATCCTAAGGCAGCGGTTTTCAACCTGTGGGTCGCGACCCCTTTGGGGGGTCAAATGACCCTTTCACAGGGGTCGCCTAAGACCATGGGAAAACAAAAAGATATTTACATTACGATTCATAACAGTAGCAAAATTACAGTTATAGAGTAGCAATGAAAATAATTTTATGGTTGGGGGTCACCACAATATGAGGTCATATTAAGGGGTCGCGGCATTAGGAAGGTTGAGAACCACTGCCCTAAGGCAAACACCTCACAACTTTGGTGTAGTTACATCTGCCGCCATCAGCATCATCACCTCTTCCAATCATGAGACACTGTCTCCTTACTCTGTGGATGATGCTAACCTGGATAATGGCCCTTTGCTAAATGCTATTGATGCCTAGAATACCACCCTATAAATATTGCAAAAGTGGCACTGTAGGGCAGTTTAGAATAGGTTAAGAGCATGTCTTGGAAGCTCGACTGACTGGGTTTAAATCGTAGCCCCACCTCTTGTCAGCTGTATGACATTAGCTCAGTTATTTTACCTTGCCCATTCTCAATTTTCTCATTGTAAAATGGAGCTAATAACAACATCTATTTCACAGGGTTGCTGGGAGGGTTAAGTTACTATATGGAAAGCATTCAGAAAAATGCCTGAACTATAGTAAGTGCTCAAAAAGTGTTAGCTATGGTTATAATTACTACTGTGTATTCATTTGCATATGTAAATATCAATCATACAAAATTTATCATCAATGTAGTTAAGGACACAATCTTATATACACACTGACACTCTTTTATCTCCGTTTCCATTTATTTCCCATATCTAGATGCGTTGGGTCCAATTTCCCAGTAGGGAAAGCAGACACTCAGGGAGTTCAGCCACTGGTCACATCTAGAAGTGACACAACTGTACAAGCTGGTTGGGGCAGCATTACAAAGCCGGATTTACTACAGAAAGGCTCTCCCAAAGGCCCACATGTTTCCCCCACCCCTACTCTACAAACCATGGGAGAAGAAAATAGAAGAAAGAGAAAGTCAACATGCTTCTTGGAACTTCAGCTGCTTTCTCACAGCTAGTTATGGGAAAGGAAAACAGAAAGGCCGTTCTGTTCACGACTATGCAGAAAGCCAAGAATAAAGCTCTGGATCAAGGGAGAGCTAGAAGCTGAACGGCACGGCCAGTTGGGAAAGTGAAACACCAGGCCACCCGCGCCATCTTTGGCAAAGCTGGTCCCTTGGAACCTTGGGGTGAAGCAAGAAGCTGGTACTTCAGTCAGAAATAAAGATGGATGGACAACTGTATTGGATTCCTTCAAGTCACCTAAACTTAAGCTTTTGAGGGAGATTAGAATATATAAACCAACATAAAGGCTAGCACAGTCTAAATTCTCCTTTCTTGGGGTCTAGTTATGACGTCTATATTTTCACCTAGGAGCCCAACAGCATTCTGTCTTCTACACAGAGCACTCCAGGGAAGGGAGATAAGACTCAAATCTGTCCATTGTGCTAATTGCTAGTTGTTCTAGTAAAAGCGTGTTAGTGAGTAGGGTGAGAACCACCAGCTTCCACGTTTTTGAATTATTTCATTCATCTGTCCTCTTCATCTTCTCTTTTGTCAGAGGTAATGAAAACCAGCTAGGGTTGGTGGATGACGTATGGTATCTGAGAAACTCCAGATGCCTCTGTTTTACCAGTCAACATTTTCTGCTTCCTTTGTGATTTATTTATAAAGTGGCTGAATCCCACTCTGGAGGATTTTCAGGTTCTACTTTTCCAGCCTGATGACCCATGTCCACCCACCACATTCTGGTTGGGGAAGCCATTAATTCCACAGATATTTGCGGAGCGTCTTCCACGTGCCAAGCACTGTCCTAGTGCTGGGGACACAACACTCTGCAAAAACAGTAAATACCCTGTCCTCATGGGCCTTCTATTTTAGAAGGGAAGACAAAAACTAAACAGAAAAACGAATGAATACAAAGCTGGGTGATAAGTATTACTGAAAAATAAAGCAGGTTAAAGGGAGAGAAGTTGACGGGAGTTGCTATTTTGGGCAGAGGTCTGTGCTTGTCCATCACGCTCCCTGCCCCCATCCCTTTACCCTCTTGTACTGGTTAACATTTCTCAACTCCTGAAACAGTAGTGGCTTAGGCCAATCATGGTACCCCTTGCCCCTGGTCACAGTGGCTAGTTCAGGAATAGGACCTGAACTGGGCCAGAATTACACCCTTGGAAATTTTACGGCTGGGGCCGAGGGACGAATTCCCTTGCCTTTGTAATCCTGGGGATGCTGTTGGCCATCCTTGATGTGAGGGAATGTTTGCCTATTGGAGGAGAGAATGAGTTCATGGAGAAATAGAAAGAGATGAGGGAAACACAGAGAGGAAGCACCTAGACTTTTGACTTTCTAATTCCAGTCTGAAATCTCTAGGGCTAACCTCAGCCCTATGGTTCTTCTCCCTTCAATCTCGATAAACTCATAGTAATTCCCCTTTGTTCAGTTTAAGTGTTTCCTCCTTTGGAAGGCCTCCTCTGACATACCCAGGCTCGGTGAAAGGCCATTGTCACTATGCTTTCAGAAACCTTTTTTTTTTGGAAATAGCAATAGCAACCTAGTATGAACACCTACTATGTGCCAGATGCTTATGCTAAGGGCCCTACATGTGCTACTTGTATTACAGAACGTAACAAGTTGCACCACAGTTACTAATTTCTATGCACATTTCTCCCACTACAAAAATGAATATAGAAAAATGTCTGGCTAGTCTCTTTTGTGAAAGAAAAAATTTTAATTTCAAATTTATTTCAGCCTGTACTTGTGCAAAAGAGATGACTATGGTCCCTCAGTATCTGTTCTCCATTTCTTTTCCAGTGAAAACACTCAGTTTTTAGGTGAAATAAAATCTACTTTTCCCAAGTCTTTCCTTGCAGCTAGGTATGGATGTGTGACCAGGTTTATTAGGTCAGTAAGATGTGAGAAGAGGTGTGTTTCCTCCTGACTCAAATGTGGACATGATGGCTAAAGCTCGCACACCCATCTTGGACCAGCCGCTGAGAAGCCACGGGTTGAGTATGGTGCAGCCAAAAGATGGAGGAGACTGGGTCCCATACCAGCCCTGGAGTACGCATGTCCACACCTCACTTATGTGACTTAAAATAAAATTCTATTTTACTGAAGCCACTGCTAAAGTTTTCTGCACTTCCTAGCTGAACCCAATCCTAATTGATAAAATGAAATAATACATATTCTAGATAAACTAATATTTCCATGTATTAGACATTGACCTGTGACGTTCAGGTCAATGACTAACTACTTCATATAGGAATATGGGACTACCACAGCTGGCCATTTTAGTTATGTTTTGTCCAGTGATACTAACTATTCTACCGTGTCCTGTAATGTTACCCATATTCATGAAAAAAGGCAACAGCTGTTCACAACAGGCCATTTCAAGGCAGTTGAAATAACCAACTGTCTTAATAGAAAGGGAAGCTAAGAGAATTGAAGAAACCAATAGCTGCTCAGATTACAAAGGAGCTGGACTCGTGGTAAGATATGTCAATAATAAGAATAAATCAGATTCCAAGAGACTCCAACAGGGGAAATGTGAGGCAGAGCTTTTAAATACGTAGTTTAAAAAAGATGACCCATCTATCACTATTCAAGTGCAAATTTAATGTAAAAAAAGTTTAGATTTCACAAACCCAGACTGGATCTATATGGGATTTGTACTTTCTCCAACAATAGAATTAGATGAAAAACTAAAGGACAAATAAGAGTTAAGACTAAGAAACAATGTGTTGTGTTTAATGGAGGTGTGTTTACTTTATTTTTCAAAGAATTTAGCTTTAAATACTTTGCTTATATGTATTATGACCAATTTTAAAGATTTGCCACTTAAAAATATGTGAGCCAGCCTGGCTTGAGGAGAATGAGAACTATGAGGGCGATTAGCTGTGACTTAAGGAAGGAAGAATAAACTATTAGAAAGTTAGAGCAAATTCTTGCTTTCAGCATTAAAAGAAAATCTGCAAAGCATGGAATGTCTTTCAATGAGTTCTCATTAGTGCCATTTAGTTTGCACATTAGAGAAAAAAGGAAGAGTAAAGCCTTAATTGATTTGTGCCACACCATGGAGGCTACTGATTACAAATAAGCCTTACCTATTCACTAAGGCTCTTCCCAGGTAATACTACATCCTAGTGCTTGGAATGAGTTGATCTATACTGTTGAACCTTAAAAAGGACCACACAGGCATGTACACATAAAACATACCACGGTTTCCTTGACAAATTCCTACCTCAGGTCAGTTTTTCTCATAATCAAGTAAACAAATAAAGCTTTAAATACTGTAAAAAATGTTTTCCAAATTTCCAGCTCATTCCAATACAATAGCCATGACATGCACATCTTAGAAGAGAATGCATCTAATTATCAGCGCTTGTCCAGGGTGGATGCCCAGGCAAGAACTTGGCTGAGGTTACCTCACCCACACCAAGGCCCTGATGGCAAAGCAAAATGACCTTTAGGATGAAAGTGCAGAGCAAGTCTTCATTTTTGTATAATGCTGCATTGTTAAATTCAGGCATTATTCCCCCAAGAAAACAAGCACCAAGTTCTTTGGCATACAAAACCGTAGACTGACAGACTGAATTGGCTCTTTGGGAATTGAAGTTGGATGAGCTCAGATCTCCCATTTTCCAAAGGGTAAAAAAGTTCAGGTAAACGTGGGATGCACAAGGCAAGTATGTCAACGGTAAGGACGTCATTGGTAAGACAAGTGGTCTTTTCCTTGAGGGCATGACATCCTCCGCCTGTGCAATTCCATCACGCAGAGCTGTAATGATCTTAAAAACAAGCAAATGTGTTGCTCTCCCACCTTGTCTAAACCTCATGGGACACAGAAGAAAAGCCAAGTTACCTTTCTCATCTGAGCCAGCAAGCCTTCGAACTCCTTCAAGTTCAGCGTCGTTCCGCTGTAGGATGCACAGCTATTTGCTGCTTTTCCCAGCCAGTAAATCGTAACTAATACCTGTGAAACAAAACCACACACACAGGCAGGAGAATTTTCCCTCAAGAATTACTTTTAAACTAAAGAATCAGTAATGCTCCACTAATAGAAAAGCAGGAAGGCGAGAATGTGCAACGTTGATTTACGAAAACCACCATCCATGAGGTATCCATTAAATGTAAAATCATTTTAATAAGAACCCAATGCTGCATCAGTCAACACAAACATGATTCTATAGTCAAAATAAGACTCCAGTTTTATGGAGAGCTCATCTATAAGACAGCAAGAAGGGAAACTAAATCGTCTAAAATTATTTTGTATAATGAAATACTCAAATATTCAAAATTAGGAAGCACGCTTTTTCAGAAGCCATGGAGTCTTAACCCAGAAAAGCTAGGAACAGGTTGTCAATTCCTTTTGAGAGACGTGCTTTTAAAGGCCTACAGTTTCTCCTCATAGGCACAGAGGCTCTGCTAAGACCAATGGCAAAAATACGAGGTGTGATAAAGGCTAATTAGTATTTCCCAGCACAATATCAACACAATATATCTAATTAAAGTCAGAAGAAAACAATATAATAAAGAATACGATCTGCAGATACCTAGTTGTGCTGTGGGGTACAGGTAGATTCCCATTAATCTGAGATGGGAAATATTTAGCTTGGACAAGATTACTGCCTATTAAACCACCTTGGATGTTTAAGAAGGTCTGTGAACATTCAATGGTCTGAAGCCACAGTCCTAAGTTATTTTGTTCTGTCTTTCCAAAGCAACTGTCCACAAAAGCAAATGTCTTTTACACTGATGCTCTCATAATAACTGGCAGAGGTTGGCTGAAGAGGGGTCCTTAACACTGAATAACTGGGATCTGAAGCCTATGGAAAAGCTAAGACCATTATTTCATTTTCACATTCGGTCTTACTGCTTCAACCAGGCTGGGAGGTACTTATTGTACCCCCCTCCACCTGCTAGGACAGAAAATGCCTTGGACAATGTGATATGTGTCCATTGGTTCAGATGGTAACAGGACTAAATTTATGGTTATGTGCCATCAATGTTATGATGTGATTTCGTTTTCTACCTGTATGGGAAAATTACACTTCAGAAGTCCTTCAAAACTTCCAGAAATCTTTTTTCTTTTTTTTAACTGCTTACAAATAAATTTCCAGAGAACAGGCGATTCCAAATGCCAGGACATTAATTAGAATAATAAAATCACTAATGTGTGCTAAGCATATGAGATTATCTTGAAAGGTGTAATAGGAGAACGGAAAAAGAACTGTGTTGTGTTTTAGACGATAGGTTTTCTGATTTGTTTAAAATTGTATGATGAAAAATGGTATATTGTTTTAGTTTATAGTGGAAGAAAAAGAAAGTAAGGATGAGCATGTCAATTAAATATAATAGCACCCTGGTCATTAAAAAAAAGGAGGGAGTGTCACAGCTAATTTTCCTCTTTTATACGCAGAAGGTCATTTCTTACATTCCTAGATTTAACCTTAAAATAAAAGAGCACTCCTATACTTGCCTTTTGAAAATAAGATCTAATTTAAAAAAGCTGACTTTGGGAAGTAGTAATAAAATCTCAAAAGATTAATAGGAAAAAAAATACAAAAAGTACAGGTCCACGACAGCAAATACAATTCATATTATGCTGATCTTTCCCTAAAACTTGCCCAACTGCTTAATATAATAATCCCATCTGTGCCTACCAATGGAAAGGAATTAAAGGTAGTGCTGAGACAGACTGTTTTGTGTTTAAGAAACGGAATCACAAACAGAGCACAGGCTTTCATTTGTTTATTTCTAGATTGAGCACTTATCCAATTAAAGAGAACCCCTTCCTCCCCCCCCAAATCTGCCATTGTTATTTCTATTATAATCATTAACAATTCTATCAGAGATACATACACTTGTCTTCTAAGAAGGACTCTTGCTAACAATGCATATGAGAAGCCCTGAACATGTGAACTAAATCTTACACTTGAACCACCAAAGTCAGAAGGAGTAAGTTTAGAAAGTGAAGGTAAAATAACTTACATTTTTCAGCTTCCTACTATAATCAAGGCTCCTAGTTAAGAAAAAGGGAAAGAAAATATGATCAGAACAGCAGTTTCTTCAATGTGATCTTCCTCAAACACCTCTAGGATGCACCTAAAGTTAACTAATATAATTAAATTGAAATAATCTTTTGCAAGGACTAGTGATTACAGGTACCAAATACAATTATTTAGAAAACACAAGGTGGGCTTAATGTTCCATCGTGTACCTTGAAAAGATGAATGCTTTATAACATCTGGAAAATAAAGAATTCCATTTAAACCCGGGATTGTTTATATCTGTATTCTCAAAGATTAACTGTTAAACTAAAATTCTGCCTTGATTATAGACCACTGTCAAATTGAAATGTGACTACACTTGTAAATTTTTTTCATAGAAGTACTTTTAACAAAGGTCTAAAACCTTAATTAAATAGGCCTGAAAACATATGTACAAGAGGCAATACTATCCAAATATTTGTTCTTTTCTGCTATGGATATAATTTAGCATTGGGAATTAGCCATAAGCAAGAAAATATGCATGTTATGTTCAAATATACACATGTGCATTCTTAAATACACATAAATATTTATCCTCAAACTGTAAACAAATAAGCTGGTGGTACTTTCTAAATATGCATACAGTGAAACATAAAAAATTTTCCCCAAATTATTCTAAAGTTCCTTTAACATGTCAACATATAAAATACTAGGAAAAACAAATGCCGTGTTTCTTTTTTCCAGTAACTTCAGTTGGGGGGTGTGTGTGGGGGGGTTCAAGAAGGAGAATGTAATGCTACTATATGTATCAGGCAACAACTCCTTCAAGTATTTAGACTTCAACTACTTCATTGCTGCATTTTCTGACCCAAAGTACATATGAATGAATAGGTGTCCAATTTTAAGTCAATTGAGATTTGAGGGAATAGAAAACAATGTAGTATAATATATACTATGGAGATAAATCCATCAACATGGACTTGGATTGAAAGAAGCACTGGTCCAACTTGGATTTGATTAAGAGAATACTTTTATACTTCCCCTTTTGACAGAAAAAAATGGTATGTCATTATCCACTTAGATATTTGCTAGAATTTTTAAAAATTTAACAACAAGGGCCGGCCGAGTGGCGCGATGGTTAAGAACTGGCTTGGGACGCCAGAGGGCCCCGGTTCGGATCCCACATATGAGGGCCAGTGACAGCCCTCCACAGCTAAGATGCTGAACAACAGCTCGACCTGGAGCTGGGCTGCCGAGAGTCGCCGGCGACGGCGTAGGCTGCAGCCCCTGTGGCAGTGGGTTGCCATGGGCTACCGTATGTAGCCAGCAGCCAGCGTGAGCGGCCAGCAGCCACAGTGAGCAGCCGTCCAGAAGCCGGCGACTGATCTGCCTCGCCCGGGAAGAGCGCAATGATGGTGCCAACTTGGGCCAGTGAAGCAACGTCCTCCACAACTAGACTGAAGAACAAAAGGACAGCAACTTGTCTGTTCCCCTTCCCCAATTCCCCAATAAAAATCTTTAAAAAAATAATAATAAAAAAAATAAAAAAAATTTTAACAACAACAACAATTTAACAAAAAAAACCAAGATGAACACAATAAAAAAAATCTATAAAAGATTTGAAATTTTTATGAAAAACAAGAACAGGGAACATAAAACTTTTCTGCACTAAGGATAAAAGTTCATTGATTAAAATTGTGACCCAGTTCTAAAAAAAAAATCATGTTTGGCACATAGTAGAAACTTAGAAAGTATTTGTTGAATGACTTTCACTTAACAATCAATTAGGTGAAAATGCTTCCAAATATTTTAGAGACATACTGGGGAGCAACGAAAAGCCTTCCCTCTTTTCATCCAATTGTTTTGATTCCCTGGAATGATACCGGCTGCATGCACTTCTGGACTCTACTTTCATTTCCCATCCAGGTTGTCTGGCATCCATTACAGGTAGAGTTCACTAAATTACACACGAAGTAATCATTTGCAGGTTTTCCTTTTTTTTTCTTTTTAGATTTACTCAAGTTACCTCTCAAAAAAGTGTAAGAAAAATTACCTACAATGAAAGCTAAACTGAAGAGTATTTTTTAAAAAGCAATTTCAGAAAAGCATCGAAATTTCCTCTGTGGGGTCTACCCCTATACCTTATTGCTTATGCTATTAATTGGTGTTATGGGGGGTGTTCTCCACCTTTGCTAATGTTCTGTTCAACTTTTCATGAAAGAAAGCAGAGAAATACAGCAGTTCTACTTTAATCTACCAAAGCTATAATATCTATGTATGTTACAAATGTCTCTGGTAACAATGCCAAATTAAGCCAGCATCATTTACAGAAAAGTTATGAAAAAGAAAGCGTATCTGTTCCCCACTCCTCCCTAAAACTAGAAATGATTTTTTAAGTACTATAAATAAATTTATGCCATCATTTTGATATAAGATGATTTATATTCTTTAAATATTCATACAGTGAAATGAAAATCTTTCTCCATAATTATTCCAATTCCACATCCTACAGTGCTTGGGGACCATCCCTCCCACCACACTCATCCTTGCTCATTACCCTTCTACCATACTGGCTACTTTTCTTTTCAAACATCAAGTCTGTTTCTCTTCCCCAGCCTTTATACATGCTCTTCCTCCCCCACTCATGCCTTACAGATCTTTGCATGGCTGTTTCTTGCTTCCCATCCATGTCTCATCCCTTAGAGGAAATACTGGAGAGGCCACTCTTTCTTGATCACCTCTGGACTGATCACTCCTTTTTTTTTCAGTTTTATTGAGATACAACTGACAGAACACTGTATAAATTCAAGGTGTACAACATAATGATTTAATATATGCATGTATTGCAATGGTCACTATCTTCCACATCATCTATTATTTCTTCTCAGCACTTATCGCTTCCTGCTATTGTCTTATTTATTTATTTATTTCTCATTTCTTGACATGGATGTAAATTCCATGTGGACAGAAGGCACTGGCTATCTTGTTCATTCTGGTTCTCTGGAGACTAGAAAGTATCTGATATATAGTAGCTGCTCAGTAAATATTTGTTGAATGAATGAATGAAAAATGATAGAGTCATAGAGAAGGTGATGGAAAAGTATTGCTTAAGGAAAATAATAATGCTCAAGTGAAGTAAAAACTAAAAAGGGAAAGAAATGAGGAGAAGAGGTGAAAAAGGTGAGATAGATGAGAAGACAAGAGAAAGAAGGGAGGGGAACATAAGGAAGAGAAGGGGATGGGAAACAAAACAGAGAGAAAGATAAAAAATGACAGAGAAAAGAATAGGAGAAAGGGAAGATGCAACAGTAATTGAGAAGTGATCATTTCTATGTACCACTGGTCTAAGTGACTTTCCCCTTTAGGTTGCTTTCCATGCCTTGACTTAAAGTCTCTTTCATTAAAAGTTGGTTGAACCATCTTCTCAGATCTGCACTGAGCACATTTTAACTAGAATCATACCTGAGAGAACATTCTGTCCAATTCCATTTTATAGATGAAACAAGGGAACTTGCTTAACATTACAGAACTAGAGGGTAGAAGATGGAGTGCTAAGATCCCCAACTTTGTGATAACCCAGTTTTTTGTAGATAAGCAATAAAAATGCTAAGAGTTCTGAATTACTAAAACCAATCTCAGGATTCCCTTGGTTTAGTAACATATTGATTTAAAGTAGCTCTAATGCAGCTACCAATATGTATGTCAAAGTGAACTTTCCCTCACCCTCCAAGCAACGTGTATGTGACTAATTATTATGATGTTGCACAGTTACTGTTGGTTCTGGTCACTTGGCACCAGGCCAAACTATGACTGAGATGAGGCAGAACCTGAAACAGTTTCCTAAAATGAATAATGATTTATAGAGGCTGGGTACAATAATAAATGGAGCATGTGATGACTAAAATTAGGTAGTTTCTATATTCAAATATCATAATTTTACTCTGTTATTTTTGTCATTAACCAACATTTTTCCATGATAAATATTGAAGAATGGCACATTAACAACAGAGAATCAATTTTATGTAATCAATCATGGCTAACTCTCCTTTATTCACAGTCACAAATCATAAAATCCAATATAAACTCCTAACTTGATTTCATTCAGTAGTTTCCATTTTTTTCCCAATTATTTTCCCCCATCATTAAAAAAAAACCCAAAAAATCAATATCATCAAATGGTATAAAATTAACAGCTCTGAATTTTGGCATCCCTCCCTTTTCTGTTCTTCTATGACAAAATGACCCATAAGTAACCAAAAGGAGAAGTATAGCCAATCCACAGACCCTGTCCATGTAATTAAGCTTATGATTAAGGTATATTCATGACAAACATGGTTTGACTAAAGTGGAATATGTTTTATATGAAATTTGTAGACTCTAAAGGACTTCAAAACCACAGGTATGTTATTTCTACCATCTTATAGGACTTTTTATCTCACTAATCTGGTCCTGAGCTATTTCTTTACAGAAAGCGCACAGCCTTTGACATTCTTTCCCAAGAATTCTTTGGCCCCAAACATGGCTCACTGAGTAGAAACAATCAACAGTAGTCAAATGGCCAATAACCCATCTTCAAAGAACTTGATCATTGACACATATGAGAAAACAGTTACAAATATTAATGAAGAAGTGATTTCTCCATGATCTATTGCTCTCTCTGCATAATAAACAGAGTTCAGATCTGTTTACCAAGCTTGCAGTCTTCCAGAGCCTATTCAAATGCCCAAATGGAACTAATAAAAGCTTTTTGTCTAACACACACAGATTCTTCGCATAGTTCTTTCTTGCCTCTTCGTCTGTTAAGTTTCACCTAACATTTTACTCTTTAACATTCTAACTCTATACGGGTGATTTTTGCATTTCAAAAAAAATTATGTTTGATCAGAATGAAAGCTATACACAGGGAAGTCCAGTGTGTCTTGTTTTCAAAGCTTGATCTTCACCTTCACATTTTTATTTTATTAGGCATGCCTAATTCTCTGCCTCTTAGACCTTATACCATCATCACAAAGCTGCAAATCAAACCATAGACGGGTTTCCCTTAACTATAAATTGTGCATTACTTACTTGACTGTTACTCGGTTGGACGTATCCTGTAGGTCACTAGGGTCAAAAAGTTGAGATTCTTTAAGGCCCAGCTCTTTACAACCTCTCAAGAATAAGATGATATTGTCCTGGAAGGAAGAAAAGAAATCCAAGTCTATATTATTTTGTATTATCTTTATAAACCAGCCCTTCCTCTTTAATAGTCCAAATTACTGGAGGGATGTCAGTCATTAAGGCAGCGAGAGTCAGGTCTAAATCATGGCTTTCTGGGTTAAAAAAACCCATACTTTGTTAGGACATGCCCAAGTAAACAGACACTTCACATTTCTAAACCCACAGCCGTGCCAAATTCATTTTTTCCCTTTACCTTAACACGGTTTTATAAAACTGTAAGTAAAATATCACTAAAAAGCAGAATTTAGCATCTTTTGGGGGAACAGTACTCAAAAAAACAGATATTCCCTGTTGTTTCAAAGTTTTGTCCATGTCTTATTATCTAGAATCTGGTTCAAAATTGATATTTAAAAAATAGGTTTTACTACCTGCGTGTCATCTTCAACAAGATGTTTTTAATTGATCTTCTAAAATATGTCTTTTATCAGTGGGTTTTCACTGATAATACCTCTTGGTGGACTATAAATTGAATTAAGTGAGAAAACATTCTAGACTTAATTGGGAAAGGAAAAAAGAGGGGCAAGGACAGCTTTGGAAAATAATGCAAAAGACCCTCCTCAAAGTGAAAGTTTTCTCTAGCAGGCACAAATTTACTTTGAACTGACAGAGTACTAGGCACAATAGATAATTCAGGAGGGTTCTGGTGTTCATTTGTTGGGAGTCAAAAAAAACCCCAAAACAAACAAGTGGCTCTGGAAGGGATTGCAATTGTGGGTCATTCTTTTGGAGCTCCAGGGTACTGGCAGCAGGTTCATCAGTTACAAGTTCCTGACTGTCCTCTTCCTAAAAAGCTTCTGACAAGCTAAATGGCCTCATCAGTTAGTGAAAACTACCAAGAGGAATGGTAAAAGTTGGTTACAGGAGTTAGATCAATGTGAATCCATCTGAATACTATAAGAAAGATGCTACAAAAGTCCAAAATGATGGTGCAATTCAACAAAGCGCACAGAAAGGAGAATTTTCCTCAATTATCCAGTGTGTAGGCAGGATTCTAAGATGACCCCCAAGAATCCCACCCTCTGGTGTACAGATGCTGTATAATCCCCTCCCTTTGAGTGCCAGTAGAACCATGAATATGAGGGGATATCACTGTGATTATGTTACTAACCTGCTGACTTTGAGTTAATCAAAAGGAAGATTATCTGATTGGGTCTGACCTAATCAGAGGAGCTTTTAAAAGAAGGTGAAGTCGGAGTTCTTGGTGGCCGTAAATTCTATAGCTGGAAGGAGATGCATTCTGTCAACAACCACATGAGCTTGGAAAAGGCTTGGACAAAGCTCAGATAGGACCTCAGCACCTGTCATCACATTGATTTCAGCCCCGTGAGACCCTGAGCAAAGAATCCAGTCATGCCATGTCCATACTTCTGATCTACAGAAACTAAATTAATATATGGCTATTGATTTAAGTTGCTATGTTTATAGTAATTTTTATGTGGCAATAAAAAATTAATACACCCAGGCTCAAAACAACAAGAGCAATAGCAATAAATCACTAACCTTTGGCAGCTCTTATTATATGCCAAGCATTCTTCCAAGAGTTCTACATCTATTAACTCATTTAACCCCAGCATGGCCTTAGGAGGTAGGTACTACTATCATCTCCACTTGACAGAGGGGCAGTCTGAGGCACAATGAAGCAGCTTACCCAAGGTCACATAACCAGCAAAGGATGGAAACGCAAAACAACATGGCATATATGAAGAATTCAAGCTTCAAATCTGAAGCCAGCACCAAAGGAAGATGATGCTATGGAATCAGGGGCTGATTACAGAGGGCAGGCTGTGGAAGTCACAGAGGGGCTGTAATCTGAGAAATGAGTGCCCAGACCTCCAGCAGAAGTAGGGGGTAGGCTGGGGTGAGGAGTAGACAGGGTGAAGGAAGAACTTAAGAGGAACAAGACAGGAGTCAGGGAGACCAAAGGGGACCTCACTTTTCCCCCATGGAGGGTGGCCCATCCCAGAATGTGTTATTTCCTGTGTCTTTTCTGTGTCCCTGCATTTTTTTCAGCAGATAAGATGTGCCATCATTTACAAGACCTGTGTCATTCACAACACCTCTTGCAGAGTACAAAAATTGGCTGGTTATAGTCTGAAAGCATCCATACCCTGGCCAATCTCTCTTGCAATTATTTTGCATGTTTTAAAATGATCAAATTTCTCCTTGGAGTTTTTCTATTTTCCCTCCCATCTCCAGAGATTTATAGATGTTCAGGTGAGTCTTTTCTAGGGCATGCAACTATATCTCTGGTTGATCTTTGAGCTCTGAGGGTTTCCTGCCCAGAGGAAAGCAAAAGGATGGGTCCTGGCATTCTCCAGGAATCATTTGGGACCACAATAAAAGGACCAGACCTGTGACCGCCATGTCATCCCATAAGAGGTGCATCACTGGGGCACCTCAGATTCTCAAGACAGACAAGGAGGCGTGCTTCCCATATGCATTCCCAGATGCGCACTCTAGTGCCACGCACGCTGCATTCCGCACACAGACTGCAAGTACAAAAGCGCTGTGTTGCCAGCCAGCCTGAACAGTTGGGGCTGGGAGATTTAAATAACTGCAGGTCTCCATCCAGCTCCTTGGGGCAACCTAATGATGCTGGAGGGGAGCCAAATTCCAGTCAGGAGAAAAGCCAGAAGGAAGAGCCCTGCAGCCAAGAGCTAACTGGGGCAGCGACGACCTGAGCGGGCGGAAAGGACTGTGCCTTTAATTACATAAAATGCAACTTGCAAATTCCCATCTGCCTTGCTCTTCACATTGAGATTTTCCCGCATGTATAATTCCAAGCAAAACTCACATACGCGTATGAGTGTTTTCGCTTCAGAAGCCAAGTAGTGTAACGAAGTCTCATTTCCAAGTGAGAAGTGGAAGATACTGATTTACAATGACCATTATATTAAGCTCTTACTAATATAGCATTCCAAATATGCTTTTGTAAGGTTTCAAAAGAAGTTTTTAAGGACTCTTGAAAAAACCCAATGACATGAAAAAGTAAAAATTGAAGATTAAAGAGACACAATGACCAAACATGATTTGTTACCTTTGATTGGACCCTAGGAAAAGTACATAAGGCTATGAAAGCCCAATTTAAATATGGACTATATGTTGGATGGTATTATTGAATGAATGTTAAATTTCTTAGACATGATGATGTTGAGATTGTGGTTATATGAAAGAATGCCTTTATTTTTAAGCAAATGTGAATTATTTAGGGATGAGTTATCAAAATGTCTGTAACATAATCTCAGATGGTTCAAAGAGAAAATATGTGGGTGAGTGTATAAGTGTGTGTGTGTGTGTGTGTGTGTGTGTGTGTG